TTTTAGTCGTTAGATGAAATCCAACGAGTGAAATTAGAAACAATCAATAATATTTGTTTGTAATTTTTTAAAACTCCAAAACCACTCAAGTGTTTTAAATAAAATAGAAGACCTTATAATAAGGAGGTAAAATCCTTAAAAGGACACACTATTGTATTTTTTCGTAATTAAAGTAACAAGTTGTAATCAGTATTTTATTATTATTATTTTTTACAATACGGAAGGATTTAGTAATTATGAATAAAGGGAAAAGAGATAAAAAAAAATAAAAAAAAAATGTAAGTTTTCTATCAAAAATTTTGTACAAAGATCCTTAATAATTCTTAATAAAGAAGAATATAATTTTATAACATATGTAATGTGCAGTAGTTTAATCAAAAAAAGAATAAAAAGTTTTAGACACAATAAGGTTTTCTATTTTATTTAAAACACTTGAGTGGTTTTGGAGTTTTAAAAAACCACAAACAAATAATATTAGTTGTTTTCAATTTCAGTTCATCCAACGACTGAAATAAAAGTCGCGTATATTGCTCCTTGTATACCAAGGAACAACTATATATATATATATATATTTGGTTTCGAACTATTCTTTCAGGTAATCATTGTTGCACTTGGAATAATGGTTGTGAGTCGTTGATGATCCGAAGAAGCCACAGCTTTTAGCACACATATGTGGAGGTTTTTTTTTTTTTTTTTCTTCAAGTGTGGCTGCTGGGAAACATCATATGTGGAGTTTCCGGTTGGTAATCCATTTTATTCAGTTTGTTTCTCGAATCTATCGATCCTTTCTATCTTGCTTGAAATGTTTTCGTTTGATTACGTGATCACAAGATTGTGTCAGATACGGTGTGTGTGTGTGTGTGTGTGTGTGTGTGTGTGTGTGTGTGTGTGTCAGATACGGTGTGTGTGTGTGTGTGTGTGTGTCAGATACGGTGTGTGTGTGTGTGTGTGTGTGTGTGTGTGTGTGTCAGATACGGTGTGTGTGTGTGTGTGTGTGTGTGTCAGATACGGTGTGTGTGTGTGTGTGTGTGTGTGTGTGTGTGTGTGTGTGTGTCAGATACGGTGTGTGTGTGTGTGTGTGTCAGATACGGTGTGTGTGTGTGTGTGTGTGTGTGTGTGTGTGTGTGTGTGTGTCAGATACGGTGTGTGTGTGTGTGTGTGTGTGTCAGATACGGTGTGTGTGTGTGTGTGTGTCAGATACGGTGTGTGTGTGTGTGTGTGTCAGATACGGTGTGTGTGTGTGTGTGTGTGTGTGTGTGTGTGTGTGTGTGTGTCAGAGTGTCAGATACGGTGTGTGTGTGTGTGTGTGTGTGTGTGTGTGTGTGTGTGTGTGTGTGTCAGATACGGTGTGTGTGTGTGTGTGTGTGTGTGTGTCAGATACGGTGTGTGTGTGTGTGTGTGTGTGTGTGTGTGTGTGTCAGATACGGTGTGTGTGTGTGTGTGTGTGTGTGTGTGTGTGTGTCAGATACGGTGTGTGTGTGTGTGTGTGTGTGTCAGATACGGTGTGTGTGTGTGTGTCAGATACGGTGTGTGTGTGTGTGTGTGTGTGTGTGTGTGTGTGTCAGATACGGTGTGTGTGTGTGTGTGTGTGTGTGTCAGATACGGTGTGTGTGTGTGGAAGTTTGATAGTTGTTTGGTAACTCTCCAAGTATATTTACTTATTGAGGTATTATTTTCGTTAACCAACCGAGGATTTGGATTTGGATTTTGTGGAGGGAAAAAAACTCCCTCCAATAAGAAGCGTACACGTCATCGCTACACATATCTACATTCCAAGGACATATAAGGCCCATCATGCTCAAGCCCAAATTGAGTGTATTTTTAGCCCAAGACCATTGTTATTTGTCTTCCAACCTCCATCAAGGCCGAATCAAGAGGTCATCAGCCCAACTTGTTAATATCGAACATCCGGTCCGTTACTCAAGCCCAGCCGGATCAAAGTATGTTCAGCCCAGTTATTCAAGAATACACAAGTCCTACCAGTTGAAGGATTTACCGTAGAAGGAAAATTCTGAGATAGGAAGTTCTGTAAAAGGCAAGTTCTATGTATGGAAAATTAGACAATGGAAAGAACTCTATTAGTAAAGAATGTTTATACAGAAAGAATTGGAGGACAAGCAACGCGAGTCCTACCATAATTTTACAATCTTTTGTATATAAATAGAGGCTTAGACCTCCAATAAAGGGATCAAGCAATTCTACGCTTTGACATATATTATTCTTGTTTATTTTTACTATTGATTGAGTGAGTTATTTTATTTTTCTTAATCATTATTGGTTGAGCGAAATTTTGCACCTACAGATTTGGAAAACTAATTGAAATTGAGTTATTTTTTATTTTTTATTTATGTTTGATACAATTCCGACGGAAATAAGTTTTTTTTTTTCTTTTTTTAAAGTTTGTATATAAAATAGGATTAGGAATGAAAATAATATTATAGTATGTTAAAATAATAAATAAAAATTTTATTTTGAAATATGATTACATAAAAATGAATCCGTAAATTGAGTCAATAATGCCCCCATATAATTATAAAAAATTAACTTAACAAATAGAAACAACAAGATTTATAATGTAATTTGATTTCATTACAAACTGCAATTACGAATGTTTTAATGTAAAACAAAAGCAGAAAAGAAGTATGAAAGACTCATTTATAGGAGATGTTTAAAAAATAGTTATAAAATTGTAACATCAGCTCCAGTAGAATGGGCAATGGCAGATGTAGTGGTGGATATATATGTCAAAGGTATGTGTGTGTTTATATGTGTGTGTGTAGTTTTAGGGATATTTTATTTTTTTATTTGATTCTTTAGGTTAAAGAGTTGTTTTGGAAAAGTCAAAGAGTATTTAAGTCATTTTACATTATGTGATTGGGGTGTGATTAAAAAATAGAACAAAAATGTATCATGTGAGTGATAATTATTTTCGAAAATTTTTTAGAATGATATTTGACCAAACTTAAAGAAGTTTCAATTAAATTAACGCTAATATTTATTGTACTATCAGATTTCACGCTAAAAGGATGGATGAGACATATGATACCAATCATTTTATATTCCATCCAAAATTAAGACTAATGCTCCGTTTGGTAGGAAGGAAGAAAATTGGATGGAAGGGAGAGAAGAAGAAAATGATAAAACATCCTAGGAAGAAATAGTTGGATGGAAAAAAAAAGAAGAAGCTAGACAACTTACTTTATTTGTTAGAGAAAAAAAAAAAAGAATTTTAAATTATTTTTATCATTATACCCTCACTTATTTTACTACTCATTTGAAATTTTATTAGGCATACGATTAATTTCACTTTGTTGTTTGTCTTATTTATATATGTATATATATATATATATATATATATATATATATAAAAGAAAAAATAACCACTATCTATCTACACGCCTCGTGGAACTAGAGAGAGGGATTACATCAAAGGATTCCAATATCTAATCCTACTTACTGGATGGGCATTGCGCGTTTAACCTCCAAAGCTCCTTTAGTTCTCTCTTTATATACACATATATGTATGTATAGTTGATCAATGTGAATCTATTTTTTGGCTGGTGCAATTCCAATTTCCAATTTTTAATTACCAAAAAAAAAAAGAAAAAAAAAATTGTGAATCTATTTGGGTACCTCAAAGAGCCAGGCGCCTAAATTCAATTTCTTCTTCCATTGAATCAATGATTCAATTTTATTGGCGGTACCTATATATAGTCTTATGTATAGCCGTATGAAATTATATACAACTTGTTTGTTTCTAGTTCCCTATTGATGATCTTTTTTAGAGAGAGAAAGAGAGACAAAGAGAAAACCGTGTTGCGAAAACGGAAGGTTGAAGAAAGGGCCATGGACTCCCGAAGAGGATAAGATTCTCATTCAATATAAAAGTTCAGCACAGAAATTAATCAAAACGGAAACATTCAACTGAAGTAACTGATTCTTCAAAGGTGTTGTCCCCGAACCTGTTTTGCAGAATCGGCCTCTCTGTTGCAGCAGGTGGTATCTCTGCATGAGTATTGAAACTTGGAGCAACTTGGTTTGGGGACTTTTGACGATGATTCTGTATTGGGGTTATGGGTGAGATGAGATTGCAGAGTTTATTACATTTGTGAAGGATAATTTTGTAATTTAATTTTTTTTATAATAGCGTCATTTGTTTTCTCACATACCTTCACCTAAATTTGGACGATTTCTCCGTGTCTCCTTCTCACCCATCTTCTTTCTTTTCCACCTAAATTTGGACGATTTCTCCGTGTCTCCTTCTCACCCATCTTCTTTCTTTCCCACCTAAATTTGGACGATTTCTCCGTGTCTCCTTCTCACCCATCTTCTTTCTTTCCTACTGAGCATACCATAAGAGAAATATGAGCTAAAAATATATTATATACTCCGTTATACTTGTTAAATAAAATAATGACATTGTCAGCTTTCTTCTCCATCATCTAATCGAACATAAAAATTGATGGACATCCTTTTCTTCTTTGGTGTGACTGTCTTTTCTATGCCTCCCATGTCCCTTCCATTGATTGTCCATCCTCCCTATTAAACACAATTATTTTGTGGCTAATCGAGATAGGGCAGCTGCGAGGGTATATTAAAATCAATGAATTGTAGTGATAAATAAATCTTAAAAAAGTGTTGTTTATACATTTTAAAAAGGAAATTATAAAAACATGGAGTTTTTGGTCTTCCTTACTGACATGAGTCAAAATCCACACATTTCAAGAAATGAAATATTGGAAAAAAAACTTACAAATACATGAAAAACTTACAAAAGGCATGGGTAAATACCACTCGCCATGTTAAATTATAATATGCTAGCCATAAAAGAAATATAGGAGCTTTGGAATTAGAATTAGAATTGGGCTGCAGAATGGAATTGAAGTCTTGGAATTGAAATTGGAGAAAATTTTGGTTCAATTTTTTAAATTGTTTTTTTCCAATTCCAATTCCAAAGCTCCAATTCCAATTCCATGCCTGCACATAGCTTTAATGGAATTGAAAAAAAAACTGAAAAAAAAACAACTCAGAAAATTAAACCAAAATTTTCTTCAATTCCAATTCCAATTCTATAAAGCCAAAGATACATTGAAACCTGTAAGAATAGTAAAATTATGGACTAATATAATGCATGCACAATCCAGTATCAGTACAATGCTCTAATCGTATTAACATTCATTTCTGTTGCTGGGTTCTTATCTCTCTATAGGTAGTATGCAGCTGAGGATGATATACCGTACATTTAAATACATTCAAAAGTTTCTGGCAACCTCTTGAGCCATCTTCCACTGAATATACATATACAATATGGGGAAAAAGAAGGTAAAAATGGTTGAAAATATTTACAACGCCGTCACAAATCCTAAAAGGAAAAGTTCTCCAGAAGTACATATAACAGGTAGCACTGTAAGCAATTGATGGAAATTTCCTTCTGCTGCTATGGCATTAAAACAGCCAATTGCAACTTGCCTAGCTGGGATAGTTTTACGGGGTTTTTGAAAACTTTAATCCTTGCGGTATTGTTACCTGATAAAACAACATGTGCAATGCTGAAAGATTCGCCTTTTTCAACTGCGAATTGCCACTCTCTCACAGATATAGCGAACCAATCCTTCGTTTTAGAATTGGTTGCTTTAACTTCTATGTATTCCATTCTCTTCTCGCTATCACCTATGACGATGTCAAAGGGTAGCCCAGTCTCAGTATCTTTGTTTACCCATCTCACACTTGTCCTGCCAGCATTAGCAGCAAAGTAGTTGAAAGCTACAGACTCTCCTTGTCTCCCTGTTAACATTGCTTGCTGTGCATTCAGTGTGCCAAAAGAAAGCTGATCTCTCTTGCCAGACTTTGATGTTCCAAAGTTGGGTCCATCAGATGGTGCGTCTGGATTGAATGTGACATCCATTTCAGAACCAACCAGATTGCAAGCATGATAAGACTGATCTTCTGAAGATTCAGAATCTTGTAGACATGCTGTCATCGTGAGTGATGCTGAATGACCTTCAGTGGTCGAATCAGTATTAGTTTGTTCCATATGATCTGTCTGTGCAACCATTTCTTTAGAAACATACTCCATTCTCACCTGCCGGCTACTGCTTGGTTGCAGAACTGCTGCTTGGGTCCCTGGTGCAGTTTTCCCCACAGGTCGCCCTGGTTTTCTCTTAGATTTTGAAGGGCTTGGTTGCAGAACTGCTGTTTGTGTCCCTGGTGCAGTTTTCCCCACAGGTCGCCCTGGTTTTCTCTTAGATTCGGCATTAGTTTGTTCCATATGATCTGTCTGTGCAACCATTTCTTCAGAAACATACTCCATTCTCACCTGCGGTCTACTTCTTGGTTGCAGAACTGCTGCTTGTGTCCCTGGTGCAGTTTTCCCCACAGGTCGCCCTGGTTTTCTCTTAGATTTTGAAGGGTTTTGCTTATTAATCATCGTTGAAGCACCATTTGTCAGGAATGCCTCGTCATTCTCTGTTAATGATGCTACAGATGAAAGGGACCAGACAGATTCTTCATCAGGAAGCTTTGGCATCTTCTGACTATTTAAAATGAAAATTTTGGTCTGCTCCTCATTGGAGCCGGATTCTGCCATAACTCTGATCATGTGAAGAAAATTGGCCAAGTGTAGTTCGGGAGTTCCATCAAATAATAAGCGAGAGAGCTCCATGAATACTGAGTGAGAATCTGATGCCTGAGTGGTGTACAGAACATAGCCCTGTATATGTTTAGTAAAAAGTGAAATGTCATATACAGGTTAAAATATGGAAATATATGCCACTAATCATTATATTACTCATTCCAAATGTCCAGGAAAAAAAAAAGGAAAACAATTTTCTCTAATTACAATAACATTGACAAATAAAGCTTTAATATAACCGGACAAAATTCCACACTGACAAGACACAAGTCAAAGATGCATCTTAATCCGACATGGAACACCTCCACAGCAACATATTCTAATTTCTCATTCTATACTAGTTTCCAAATTTTCAATTATATATAATAAAATTTAAATTATAAAATTTAAATAAAAAACACGAAACGGAAAAAAAAGAAGAAGGAATATTCGTACTTATTAATGCATTATGTTTTTCATACCAACAATATTGTACCAAAAATGTAGCTATTCTAAGAACCCTAGAAGTTCAACAATCCAAGATATATGGCATTAAGAATTATCATCAAGGCAGCAACCGTATTGGATAACCACATCCAGCCCAGCTATTGGACCAAGTATTTCCAGAGGTTTGCTTACCATACCCGCCCACATCATCATTCAATATTTCTTGGCCCACGATTGGCCAAACCATCTGGGCACTAAGGCCAATGTGAGTAGAATCGCCTATGCTTCAAAATTGGAAAAAGAGCACCAACGAAAAACATGCCACTTACCCAAAGAAAGATGATGGAGAGTTGATCAAAATAGGCATGGCTGAATAAATGCTATACAAAACAAGGAGGCACAATCCAAGAATAACAGCAACATTACAAACCTGTAAAAGACAGGTACATTTAAATTGCTTCTTAGATGCAATGCCAGATTTTTTTATGACATTCCTATAAAACAACTTTTCAACAGCAACAACTTGCAGATGACTCAGTTCCTCAAATCCTGACTGCTTGAGTTGAAAATATTTATTGGGATGTACATTGTAGATGTAGCGCTGTGCATGAGGAAGAGCCCAGTTCACCAGTGAAGCTGTGAAACTAGAGTCAGCTGGTCCATAGTATATTGGTTCACGAGTTGTAACCTGCAAGAATGCAATGTTATGAAAGGGAAGATATTAACTTTTTTTCTTTTCTTTTTCCCAATTACGTTCGTCTCACCGGACGGCTCATATTGAGAGAGAGAGAGAGAGAGAGAGAGATTACCTCTGAAAGAGAAGGAATCCCTAAGGTTCGTATCAGACCAGATACCTTCCTTTGAAGCATCTCTTTTTCACCGTCACTGAGTTCACCGAAGTTGAGAAAATCTATATTGTCCAAATGCTTAAACCCCTTTCTTAACTCATCATCATCACACCAACATACAAGGCCAAATGACGCGTGTAGAGAAACCCATTTATCTTGTATAACAGGAAGAACTGTACATTCCAATTTTAGAAGACACTCTTTCAAGTAAACAATATCATCAGAGCTCAGTAATCCAGATTTTAGTTCATCACTCCACCTTAGAAAAACTTGAAAAACCTGAGACATAAAAAAGAAATACATGCATGGCATAGAATTACTGATTCCTCACAACCACAATATAGAATGCTTACAATTTGGTTACTTACCATGTGAGCCGCCTGTGAAGGCGGCACAATAGTTGATAACTCCTGCAAAATCTGAAGGTAGCTACGAGAAGAAGGGATCTCGTTGACTCCACAGTAATAAACAAAAAAGTAATGAAGGCCTGGATAAATGTTCCGCAATGTTTTGTTTAAGGAACGATTAGACAGACCTAAGCCAGAATGAGGATGGATTTCTGTCATTTGGTCGATACAACCAGTTGGATCATACCAATATACTTCTTGAGGAGAGTAAAATACACCAGGTACAACATCCTCATGCCTGGAACCACATGAGTATGGAACAAAAACAAAAGGTCCCGAATGTAATTCCTCTGCAATCTTTTGCTTTGAAGTAACCATTTCATTTCGCACAAATGTGTAAAATTTGGACATCTGTGCAATGCTGGCATAAGATTAAAGATTAAAAAAAATATAAAGAGTCAATAGCCATTAAATGATCCTGGTCATATCAAAATGATAAATTACGGGAGACTTGTATGGAAAATGCATAATTGTAAAATAGTATTTCATATTTGAAAAATAAAAATTAAGAAAACAGTAGTACTATAGGAAGTGCAGCATAGTTTGCAATCGCCATCATAAAAAAGAAAACACGCACACGCACACACGCACAATATACAACAAGAAGAAAGAAAACTATGCAAGCTTCAAAAGGCAAAATCATGGGGCAAGCTAAGAGCCTCTTGAAAGTAACACGTGAGGAACAAACAAACACAAAAACACACAAGAAAGATAATACATGCAAACACATGACCATTTAGTCACCGTACAGAAACTACAAGGGATAGATAATTAGATTAGTAAATGGGTCATGATTCAAAAAATAGCTGCCAAGAAGTCATTCAAATTACATTGTGAACCAGTGACTTCAAATTAAACTTTCTATTGGGGCAGCAGAAGCGCGCGAATAAGAAAGATTCAAAGAAAGCCAACAAAGCAATCACAAACAAACACAAGATATACATGGTTCAGCCAAAACCGGCCTACGTCCATGGATGAGAAGAGATTCCACTATGATTCGTAGAGATATTACAACAATAGAGTACCAACACCACCACTCCACGAGTCTATTTCCTAGCTACCAGTGTCTTTCCTACTCTACCAACCAGCATACTACCTCTACCCATCAACTCCCTCATGAGACTACATCTCTCTCAATCTCATAAGTCTCAACCCAAAGCCTATGTATCTATTTATAGAGTTCCAAACCCAATTCCTTGTTGGATAAGGATTACAATTTCTTAGAGGCCAAGATTTGCCAAACAAGAAATTAACTAACATACTACAACTCTAAATAGAATCCTAATTAGAATAGGAATTTGAGACAAGGCCTGGTTTTGATAGAGATCATCGAAAATGCAAGTGAAAATTAAAACAACAGAAAGGGAGGGAATTTTTTATTTATTTATTTTTTTTTTGCAGGTGATGTATAGATTATTAACAAAATACATACCATACCTCAGAAGTAACAACATAAGGCAATATAAGGCAGGCCCCAAAAACCCAAGAACCAAAAAACGGAAAATCCACTAAATCAAGAAAGAAAATTTCAAGAAAATTTATTACTATTTTAGCATCGTAATATGCTCCTTGCTTGATGTTTTTCTTCATTGTCATATTCAATCACACTGTAGAACTACTTCAAGCAAATATCATCTTATTCCTAATCCTTTTCTCCCCTTCAACATATAGAATGTAACTGTACTTTAGTAAAACTAGGAATACAAGCGGGGAATGCAATGAAGATACAAGGGGGAGAAATTGAGGATGATGATAAAAACATAGAATAAAGCAAGATGGGTAAATGGTAGAGTATGTCTTGCTTACTATGTGATTGATGCTTATTTTTAAAATATAAAGGTAATGTTTACAAAACAATTATTAAACCAACTATAATTATAGGAGAAAATGTTGAACTGCTAAGAAACAACACATTTATAGAAAAAGTATAACCAACATGCAAATGTTGAAATGGACGTGTCGAGAGAGAGAGAGAGAATTGAAGTAACATAATTGGAGATGCAATAAGAGAATCAATTAAGGAGTGATGTGATTACATTGAGAGTAAACAAAAACAAAAAACACACCATGATTTGTGTTGAAAAGGAAAGATTCGGTAGTAATACTACCAAATATTATTAGCTGTAAATATAATATTTGGAGGATATTTGCTATAAATAGATTATTGGTCAAATGTTGTAAATTAGGAAATTATTAATTAAGCCAGCTAGTTATGTGCGTGTATTCTCTCCTATAAAGAGAACCCGTGTAAACTTGGGAATTGTGTGCTAATACAGAAAAAAGGTTTATTCCATATTTCTTTCCTTTCAAGTTTATATGGTATCAGAGACACCCTAAGAAAAAAAAAAAAAAAAAAAAAAAAACCCCTAATTTTCTTGTCTGCACAATTTCTTCGCTGATCAGCCATGTCTGACATGTCCTCCATCTCAACCTCACCTATCACAACCCAGTTAACCAATCCGACAACCCAAGCCCCCAGTACTGATTCTCACTCGGTTCAGATCACCAATATTTGCCTTAATGGTGACAATTATTTACGGTGGTCCCAGTTCGTTCGGATGTACATCAGAGGGCGGGGAAAGATCGGGTACCTGACGGGAGACAAGAAGGCACCAGCATCGGAGGACCCAACGTACGTGACCTGGGATGTAGAAAATTCAATGGTGATGACTTGGCTTGTGAACTCCATGGACGAGGATATTAGCTCCAACTATATGTGCTACTCCACAGCCAAGGAGCTCTGGGACAACATGAATCAGATGTACTCTGATTTGGGAAATCAGTCTCACATCTACAAATTGACTCTAAAACTTGGTGAGATTCAGCAGGGAGAAGACTCGATCACCAAGTATTTCAATTCATTGAAGCGCCTTTGGCAGGACATGGATCTGTTCAATGATTATGAATGGAAATCCACTGAAGATGCTAATCACTACAAACGGACCGTGGAGGCTCATTGCATTTACAAATTCCTTGCTGGGCTCAACGTGGAATTTGATGAAGTACGAGGACGGATCATTGGCAGGACTCCACTTCCTCCAATTTGTGAAGTATTTGCTGAGGTTCGAAGAAAAGAGAGCCGCAGACATGTAATGTTGGGGAAGAAGACTACCAGCGGACCTGTTGAGAGTTCTGCCCTTATTGTTGCAAAGACTGCTGCTGATAAAGCAGTTAATTTTCAGCGAAAACTAAAGAGAAGCCACGGGTCTGGTGCGACTTCTGCAACAAACCGCGCCATACTCGGGAGAACTGCTGGAAAATCCACAGAAAACCAGCGAATTGGAAGAGTAGCAAGCCTGGTGACAGAAATAGGCATGCGGTTCCTACTGCTAATGAAGCTGAGACAAGTCCCTTAAGCAAGGAACAGATGGATCACCTTCTGAAGCTGCTGAAATTTAATTCCTCATCTGGTATTCCTAGTGTTTCTCTTGCACAAACGGGTAGTGCACTTAATGCCCTTTCTTATTGTTTAAATTATACTCCATGGATCATCGATTCTGGAACCTCTGATCATATGACCAACCTTTCCAATCTTTTTAGCACTTACTCATCATGTTTTGGCCTTGAAAAACTTAGAATTGCAGATGGTAGTTTCTCACCTATTGCAGGAAAAGGTTTGATAAAATTATCCGAGAATATAGATCTTAAATCTATTCTCTATGTCCCTAAAATAGGCCTGTAACCTTTTGTTTGTGAGTAAACTAACCAAAGAATTTAATTGTCATGTAATTTTCTGTGATTCTTACTATGAATTTCAGGACCGGAGCTTGGAGAAGAAGATTGGCAGTGCTAAGATAATAGATGGACTTTACTACTTTGACGGGGACTTCTCCGGTAATAAAAAGGCTCAGGGCGTTAGTAGTGTTAGTTCTAACTCTATTTATGAACAAATAATGTTTTGACATTTAAGACTAGGACATCCTAGCTTTCCATATCTTAAACATTTGTTTCCTGCTTTATTTAAAGGTTTGGATTGTTCATCATTCTATTGTGAAAGTTGTTGCTTATCTAAGAGTCATCATACTACTTATTTGCCAAAACCTTATACTTCTTCAAAACCATTTTATTTAATACATAGTGATGTTTGGGGACCTTCAAAAGTCACTAATATCTCTAGGAAAAAATGGTTTGTTACTTTTATAGATGATCATACCCGTTTATGTTGAGTTTATTTGATGAATCAAAAGTCTGAGGTTGAAAATTTTTTTAAGAATTTTTACACAATGGTTGAAACTCAGTTTCAAGCAAAAATTAGCATTTTTCACACCGATAATGGAACCGAGTATTTTAATGAAATTTTGGGGAGTTTTTTGAAAGAAAAGGGTATCCATCATCAGTCTACATGTGTGGATACCCCTCAACAAAACGGAATTGCTGCAAGAAAAAATAAACATTTACTTGAAGTGGCTCGTGCTATAATGTTTTCAATAAATGTTCCAAAATATCTTTAGGGGGAAGCTGGTTTAACAGCTTTATATTTGATTAATAGAATGCCTTCACGTGTTTTAAACTATAGCACGCCATTAGAATGTTTCAAAAGAATTTTTCCATTATCAAGGATATACTCGGATTTACCTCTAAAGGTTTTTGGCTACATAGCTTTTGTTCATATACGCAATAATACTCGGTCCAAACTTGATCCTCGAGCTGAAAAATGTGTTTTCATAGGGTATGCTTCTAATCAAAAGGGATATAAGTGCTATAATCCCCAAACAAGAAAATTTTATGTAAGTATGGATGTCTCTTTCTTTGAAAATAAATCCTACTTTCCCAAAAATTCTCTTTAGGGGGAGAATAAGGTCATGGAAGAAAATTTTTGGGATTTATCTCCTACTCCTTTACCAAATGTGATTTTGACTCATTCACCTCATCCTACTGTTATTCCCGAAATTCAAAGTCAGGAACAATGTGATCAAACCAATGAAAACAATGAAGGGAATCCTAGTCATATAGTGCTAAACATTACTGTATCTAAAACAAGGGAAGAATCACTACAACCGGGCACTAAAGTTCCCAACACTGAGCCTCTGGTTTATACTCGTAGAATACCTCATCAAAAGAGTCCAAGTCAGCCTATTCCTCTTGAAAATGATCAATCTCAACCTCCGGGAACTGGACCTCCAGATATCACAAGTAATTCTGTTCCTAACTCATCTTCAGCTCCTATTGTTTCCCCTAACCAAGAACCATCAGACCTTGATATTCCTATAGCTGTTAGGAAAGGTATTCGAATCAAATATCCAAATCTAAAATATCCCATTGCCAAATACCTTATAAAAAACTCTCTCATACTCATAGGGCTTTTACCTCATAAATCTCACACTTGTTTGTCCTGAGAAACATTCAGGAAGCTCTTGATGATCCAAATTGGAAATTAGCAGTGATGGAAGAGATGAATGCTCTTAGAAGAAGTGGTACTTGGGAGATAGTTGATTTACCTAAGGAGAAAAGAACAGTAGGCTGCAAGTGGATCTTTACTGTGAAATGTAAAACTGATGGTAACATAGAGAGGTACAAGGCAAGACTAGTAGCAAAAGCGTTCACCCAGACCTATGGAATTGATTATCAGGAAACTTTTGCTCCTGTAGCCAAGATAAACTCAATCAGAATTTTGTTATCTTTGGCTGTGAATTTCAGCTGGCCATTACACCAGTTAGATGTAAAAAATGCCTTTTTAAATGGAGATCTTGAGGAGGAAGTCTTTATAAATCTACCACCTAGGTTTGAGGGAAAATTGGGACCTAATAAAGTCTGTAGAGTGAAAAAATCTTTATATGGTCTCAAACAGTCCCCTAGAGCTTGGTTTGAGAGATTTGGAAGAGTTATGAAGAATTGTGGCTACTATCAGAGCCAAACTGACCATACCGTGTTCTACAAACACAGTAGAGAAGGCAAGGTTGCAGTGTTAATTGTCTATGTGGATGATATAGTCTTGACAGGTAATGACAATGAAGAATTGGAGAGACTGAAAAAGAGACTTGCAGCTGACTTTAAGATCAAGGATTTGGGTGCATTAAAATACTTTCTTGGAATGGAGTTTGCTAGATCCAAAGAAGGTATATATGTGAATCAACGAAAATATGTTCTTGATTTACTTAGTGAGACAGGTTTGCTAGGATGTAAACCAGCTGAGACACCCATTGAATCTAACCTTAAGCTACAGCCTTCTAAAGATGACGAAGTTATGAATAGAGAGCAGTATCAAAGACTTGTTGGAAGACTGATCTACTTGTCACATACACGTCCAGATATAACTTTTGCAGTCAGCATGGTTAGCCAGTTCATGCATTCACCTAGACGAGAACACTTTGATGTAGTCTACAGAATTCTCAGATACCTAAAGGGGACCCCTGGAAGAGGTCTACTATTAAAAAACCGTGGGCATATACAAGTTGAAGCCTATACTGATGCGGATTGGACTGGGAGTGCTATTGATAGACGATCAACTTCTGGCTACTGCACCTTTGTTGGAGGTAACCTTGTCACCTGGCGAAGTAAAAAACAAAATGTAATAGCAAGAAGCAGCACAGAGGCCGAGTTTAGATCAGTTGCTCATGGAATTTGTGAGGTGTTATGGATTAAGAGACTATTGGATGAATTAAAGGTCTCTAATCCGTTGCCTATGAAATTTACTATGACAATAAAGCTGCTATTTCGATCGCTCACAATCCAGTGCTTCATGACAGAACAAAGCACGTGGAGGTAGACAAACACTTCATCAAGGAAAAGCTTGAAAAAGGATTGATCTGTATGCCGTACATTCCTACTACCGAGCAAGTTGCATATGTGCTTACAAAGAGACTTCTTACAAGACAGTTCGACAGACTAATTGGCAAGCTGGCTATGGAGGATATCTTCAAACCAGCTTGAGGGGGAGTGTTGAAAGGGTAAGATTCGGTAGTAATACTACCAAATATTATTAGCTGTTAATATAATATTTGGAGGATATTTGCTATAAATAGAATATTGGTCAAATGCAGTAAATTAGGAAATTATTAATTAGGCCAGCTAGTTATGTGCGTGTATTCTCTCCTATAAGGAGAACCCGTGTAAACTTGTGAATTGTGTGCTGATACAGGAAAAAGGTTTATTCCATATTTCTTTCCTTTCAAGTTTATAGTTTGATATAGTAAAGAAAGATAAGATAGCATAAACGAACTGAGAATAACGCTATAGAATAGAAGAGACAGCAGGCTACAACTTTTGATGTTATTACAGAAGAAATATAAAAAGAAGAAAAAAAGAGAATTGTGTAAAGTCTTGAATGATATGTATATTATGTAAAGGCTTGAATAAGATATATAATATGTAAAGGCTTGAATAAGATAAATCACTCATTCACAGCTTTAGTATTTATAGATAAAAAGAGAGCACATGCTCATATTACAAGAAAGGAAACTAAATCAAATCTAAATCAAATCACAGCATATTCTAAAGCATATTAAATGGCATATTCTAAATCATAATCAAATCTCTGCTAATATGGTAAGTCATTTCATAAATCATGGCTATCATATCTGTTAACACTCTCCCTCAAGTTGGTGCGTGGATATCTGAAACACAATCTTGCGGACGCCCTTTGTAAGAATGTTTGCAAGTTGCTAAGAGCTTGTAACAAATGGAGTGCAAATCTGACTAGCGATGATTTTCTCTTAGATGGAGTGCCGATCAACAAATAAAAAAAATATCTCCTAAGACCATAAATAATTAACAATGTCTCTTCAAACCATAAACAACCAATCATGTCTCCTCAGACCGTAAACAACCAACAATGTCTCCTCAGACCATTTCTCTTCATACACATGTTTAAAACATGTAGATGGAAGAATCAACAATGTCTCCTCAGACCATTCCCCTCCATACATATGTTTAAAAAATGTAGATGAAGGAATCAACAATGCCTCCTCAGACTATAAAAAGAAACAACTATGTCTCGTCAGACCATTCCCCTTCATATATATGTTTAAACAATGTAGACGAAAGAATCAACAATGTATCCTTAGACCATAAAAAGAACTATGTCTCCTCAGACCATTTCTAAATAGGTGGTGCCAATCTCGCAACGCCCTCATTGAGGTTGGACCACCCTGCTTACCCGACACCTCCCGGATGGGTGATCTCACCTTAGACCATTTTCGAATGAGTGGTGTCGAACTTGCAATGCCCTTATTGCAGTTGGACCACCTCGGCTCTGATACCAAGAAGAAATATAAAAAGAAGAAAATGAGAGAATTGTGTAAAGGCTTGAATGATATGTATATTATGTAAAGAAAGATAAGATAGTTCAATATCATTGAAATCATTGGCTTAAGAGGAGCAGAATGACAAAATAAGATTTGTGTATCCAATCCCAACTAATTGAGAAAAAATTCCTCATGGAATTGAGATGTTGTTGAATTCGAGTAATTTAGGTTAGAAATGGAGTATTATAACTTAAGTGGTTTTTTGTTGACTTTTCAACAATTTAATAATCTATTCCGGAAAGGACAAGCACTAAATTTTTATTGAGTTGGATGTAGTTGAATTTGAGTAGTTTAAGTAATATAAGACCAGAAGTGCACTGATCAGGGACGGAGGCAGCTAAGGCCCACAAGGGGCAGTTGGACCCCCTGACTTTTTTTTCTTTTAATTTCATATATATACTATCTTATAATAGCACAAAATACCATATATATCATTTGTAATATACAAAACACCCCCCCTGAGTTTTGTTATTAGCCTTTGTATATATAAGTGCATATACAAGTCAAGGATTGTCCCCTCCTGAGCCCAAATCCTAGCTCCGTCCCTGACTCTGATACCAAATTGATGTAGAACCAAGAGAGAAGAAGATAAAGAGACAGAAAAGAAGAAGAATAAGGAGAGGAGGAATATTGAGGAAGATATCCGTATATCAATGCTCAATATTATCAATCAATCATCAAAAACTAATCAACTCAATGTGCCAAGTGCTATATATATAGGCAAATAAAATAAGGCCCTGATAAAACCCTACATCAAAAATTAACAATCCTAAGATATAGGGAAATCTCTACAATAATATCCTCTGGGAAAAAAAATTCTCAACAATAATAAATATATAGAAATCCTAAAATCATCCTCTGGGCCTATACCTATAAAAAGTACGTAGAGAACAAGGCGCATGGGGCTTGCCATGATTTTCATCAGAAAAATAAGGCAAGCTTAGTTAGCACCTCTATAAGTGGTTTATCCATTCCTCTCTAAGAAACCTGGCTATGACTACACCAAAAGGGACTCGATATAATTTTCCTCATAATTATAAAAACAAAAATAGAGCCACACTATATGAAATTTTCCAAGCTTCAAATGGCAGTTCATGACTTCATGTATGAATCCATCTTGCATTCAGGAAATGAAATAGCATGCCAAAGAAAAACATTTATTATATAATAGAAAGAGGAAGAAACAATACCTAGCTTTAAAAGGAGTCTCAGATCTTCTCCAAACTTGAAGAACAGCCAAAATGTCATCAAGGTTAATTTGAGTCTTAAACCCAATATCAGCCAAAAACTTTTCGCTTCTCACCTGTTTCAAAAAGAAATGCATAGTTAGCATCAGCTAATTCACCCAATTCAAAGAGCAACCAGTTGTTCCAAAAAGCTGAACTCATAATCAGAGGTGACATGCAATTAATGTAGGATGTTTCAACAGGCAATGAAACAATATCCATATTAATTATCACATCATCAAAATCCTTCTTGCCTTTATCCCATATGAATGGCGACAATGGTAACGATATCAACTATAATATTTACGTTCTAACATACAGCCAATGAAGTTAATTGATGTAGCTTCAGAAAAATTACACCAACCATTGAGAAAAGTTTACAAAACATTGGTATAACTTCAATGACTAACTTTTAATCCAAGTAATGCAAATAATTTAGGCAATCAATAAACCATCGAGATCTCAATGCCTTTCCAGATCAAGAGATATTGAGCAAAAAAAAAAAAACAGTATTCTACTTATTTTAGTGAAAATGCAAAAACCTAGTTAGCATCATCAAACCAACCTTTGGAACAGCATATGGAGCAGTAGCACCTAGAATTGAGCGCACTGCATCACATTCATAGAATAAATCTTTAGGATAGTGAAGCTCATCATTTATACTGGATGCCACCCATCGATAATCATAGAGGCTACTAATGAATGAAGACTTGAATGATCTGCTATCCCCAGCAGAATTAAGATTGCAGTAACCAGTAACTTTATCACAAAAACAATCATCCCATAGTGTGTCAAGCACCTCCAAGAGGTATTTAGACCTTATCCGGTCACCACTTGAGGATAATTGGGATAACAACTGAATCAATTCTTGGGATTCCCAATCCTTGGCAATTGACCCAGGGGAAATCAGGTCCCAATCCAACATCATTTTATTCACACCAGCATGAGATATATCAGTAATACTCTTCTCAGTTAAAGCAACATGCATGAAATCCGTGATGCCTAATTCCTGGAAGAATTCCCTCCACTTCATCATCCCACCTGAAAGTAATTTGATCATCGGATGTTTCAAGTAGGACACATCAACCTCATGCCATTTCAAATCCATGCCATCAACCAACTTATTTACTTCAACAGGATTCCCAAATGCTTTACTGAAATGAATTGATACTTCAGCAGGTCGTTTATAACCATGATTTGTCAAAATAAGTGCTTTATTATGCAACTCTGAGATTATGTACCCCCGTTCAACACGACAGTTGGGGCAACTTGCTTGTAGGTGGAACATTACAAAGGAGAGGTACTCTATCATCAAAGTTTTATCCCCTATTGCCATCCTGTCATTAGAAATTGCTGGCAAGATGTGCAACTTTACAATTTCATGTGAAGACAATTGTTGAATACCAATAAGATGAAGCATCCTTGTAAGATTGTCCACCATTGACACGTCATAACATGAGATATCAACATCTGCAGCAGCAGCAAAAAGAAAAGGGCTTACAGTCCGCAGTTTACCATACAACTTTGGGAAAACTTTCAGACCATGCTTGTTATCTAACCCAGTGTCCAAAGTATCTGAAGGTAACCAAATTGTACCTTCATTTACTGAACCATAAGTACCATCAGAAAGAGGAATGAATGGAATTTTTTTGAGGTTATTTATAAGATCAAGTTCCATCCCAGAATTCAGGGATCCGTACGTAGAAGAACGATATAACATTGTATAAAGAGTATGGAGCCAAGAGGATAACCAAACAAGGCCAAATGGTCTGAGACCATTCTCCGTATGACATAAGGAAGACAGAATTTGAAGTAGGATTTTCGGTCCATACTCCTCAACACCCAGTGCCCTCGCTAATGGATCAGATAGAATTATATCTTTATCCAATAATCCAAGGCCAAGATGCTCATGCAGCAAGCTATCGGGCAAAAGGGTGCAAGCTTGTTCATTCCAATTTCTGATAACTTTGCATGGAGGGACCCATTCGTGATTATCCCCTTCCAAAAGCAAGCAGTTTGATGTGCGTAATTTAGAAATAATCAATCGGGGAAGACTAGAGAAAAATCCATGCACTTCCCCAACAAGGGGAATGAAACTCATAAAAGCTGCCACAGCCTTTCCTGGATTCTCCCTATAACAGGAAAGGGCACAAAATGATCTCTCTGCACTGACAAACAAATCAGGGAACTGTGATAGTAACCACTGGTTCCATGGACTATTTCCATCAACTTCTTCTCTAGATGAAGGAAGAACAAAATCACCTTGGAGGATAAATTTTAAACCATATGTTCTTAAAGGGAGAAAAGCAAAAACAGGTTGCTGTTCCGGATGTGGGATGTAACCTCCATTGCCTGATTCCTGAAGTGTAAATGCTACTGAGATTTCTGTTGTTTGCACATCTGGACGGATCACATCAGCTTGCACCTTTTGAGATGCTACAAACCAAGTCATTTTCTTGTTCCCAAGGGAAACCTTTGTAATACCATCCCCCATAATTTCTTTCTTCATGGCGATGAGTGTATCGTCAAGCATGTTCCTAAACTTAATACAATGAAGGCGGTGAAGAAAAAGTAATAAAGATGGATGGAGATCTGAAAACATAGACACAATGCTGGTCATAGCAGAACCTTCTGACAACTTTGATCTGAAAGGAAGCACAATGCAAGTGTTCCAACAATTAATATCCATTTGATCAATGTCGGCAGATGCCAGCCTCCCAAACAAATCAATATCACAAGGAGGTATAACTGTTGGCAAAATAAAACCAATCTGGCCTTCACTTATATCAAACTTAACATGAAACCCATTGGAGTGAATTTCTGGAGCATCTGTGACCTGCAGAAAGACCAAAAATGTTTCATGAGAATTGAATATTAATAGAATACAACGAATCATGAAAACACGCCAGAACAATGAACGACCTTAGTACGCTTCCGTCTGTAAATTTATGTAGGGTAACTATTTATAATGGATATATGTTATTAGTGTCAGGCAAAAAGATGAATTCCCAGATTCATCATTGTTCCCACAAAAAAGGTAAGAACTGAATTGGCAAAATGAGAAAATGTAGAAAATAGGATCAAAGGATAGATCGAGAATTGTACAGTTTTACCAAATGAAAAGTGAATACTTAATAAGACTTATATAGATCTTAAGGGCCAGGAATGTTTACGGGTTGTGAGGTGTGTGAAAGCAGGGATAGGAGGAGGTATTCTAGTAGTCTTCCTCTTCGCCTGCTTTCGCTTGAGGGAAGCTACACTAGATGCTGTTTCATAGGCCACTAAAAGCACTCTAAAGTTAGTGCCTTTCCCCCTTGGTGAGTTGGTAAAATGCTCGGACTCGCGAGTGAGAGAATGCAAGCTCAAATCCTCAGAATAAACACTTCAAAAAAAAAAAAAAATTAGTGCTACAGGTTAGGTATGTGTCCGGTTCACCCACCTAGCACCCTCAGTTAACAAGGATCAGACTGCAAAATGACCCCTTTTCACATAAAGAACATGCTTAAAACTAATAATTAAAAATTAAGACAAATACTTCCAAATTCTGTCATTAATAATTTTAGAACATATTAGTCCTCAAACAAACACAGCTTATTAGTATACGAAACAGTTAATTTACATATAACTATCTAGGGTAATATGTAACAATATTACATTTAAAACATAAGATAAAAGATTCCTGAATCATCAATTGTCAATGATCAGGATTGCATGAAAAAAATCAATTTACAATCAAATATAATTTTTATTTCAAAATACGGTCCAATTTTTATTATCAATTTGCAATCGGATACAACATATTGCCTTCTCTAATTTTTTATTCACAGAAAAAGAAAAACTATGCAGCAATATTTCTTGTATGATACCCGGAATACGGATTTGAAGCCAATGCCTTTCTTCCCAATATATCCAGCACCAGATCCCTTCTTTGTTGAATTTCCAACATCACAAAGTGCTCTAATGTTCTGAGCAGAGAACCCTTGTTCATTATTTAGAACAATAATGCCTGCCTCTTGAAGAATGAAAGTCAGAGTCGGTTCCACATTTTCTTGGTAGACATTGTCATCAGCATTCTGAACCTGAGGCAACAAAACAGAAAGTAGATGCCTTTAAAACACCACGATTTTCCTGGGGAAAAAAGGGAATCTACTTTGCTACTCTAAGCCTAAAAAAAATTCCAACATGAAAAACCAAGTATATAAGTTAAAGCTCAAGATATACCATTTTAGTACTTAATTAAAGTAATAAAATATTATAATAAAAATGAGAAACACATTTAACAATAAATGGATCGCAGTATTTTACTTTATGTTCAGTTGCTTTCATTTAAATCCACATGACCAGGATTCTTGACCGATAAAATCTGCCATGGTAGTTAGAAAGAGCACACCTGGTAAGAGAAGCTCGCAGCTTCACAAGAAAACCTACATCTTCTAAGAAATTCTAACAAAAAGTCAATGTTTAAGTATCCAGACAGCCAATGTTTACTATGATACCAAGTTATCTTTATCCTTTCCTTATAATCACAATCACAGCTTGAAAATGGCTCATCATCGTGAATCAAAATTGGTTCCCGATGATCTTTTTGTGACAGCTAAATCATAGAAACATAAGTACACAGCAGGGGGAAGCCACCAAATTCCATAATATAAAATAAATAATTCCCAAAGGAGAAATATAAACTAGGAAAGGCAAGTTAATCTAGTAGAAGCCACATAAGAACCCCAGCCATTCAAATAACTTGCACCAATGATAGTTGAAACCAGTAAAATATGGGCATGATCATTGAATATTGTTGAAAGAGAGAGAAAGAAAGAGAATATATGAAAACGTATATCTTATTGAGTGAGTAATACAATAATACAATGGTGTTTATATAAGAGAAGCTACGGGAGTAGGTGAGTGGAGAACAAGTAAACCCTATACATGGTAATCCTATATATGGTAATGAGGGGTAGGTGACAACTCATACACTACTAACTGTACACGTGTGACAACTCATACAATACTGTACAACACTCCCCCTCAAGCTGGAGAGTAAATGTCAATAACTCCCAGCTTGCTACATATGGAATCAATAGAGTTCTTGGGAAGCGCCTTAGTGAAGATGTATGCCAGCTGTCTACCAGAAGGAACAAAAGGTGTAACAATCTCATTTGAGTCAACTTTAGATCGAATAAAATGGCAATCTACTTCAATGTGTTTAGTCCTCTCATGGTAGACTGGATTGCTAGCAATATGAATAGCTGTCTGATTATCACAATGGAGAGGAATTGGGCACTGGACTGAAATCCCAAGTTCCTATAAAAGAGTTTTCAACCAAGTAAGTTCACAGGCAGTGTGTGCCATGGCACGATACTCTGCTTCAGCATTGGAACGAGCCACAACTAACTGTTTCTTACTCCTCCAAGTTACTAGATTTCCTCCTATGAAGGTGCAGTAACCAGTGGTGAACCGTCGATCAGAAGGAGAACCGGCCAATCTGCATCTGTGTATCCCTCAATCCGAAGATTGTCCAGAAGATTGATAAAGCAGACCACGTCCCGGAGCACCCTTGAGATACTTCAAGATGTGTACAACTGCCTCCATGTGAGGTACCCGAGGACTGGTCATGAACTGGCTCACAACACTAACTACATAGGAGATGTCTGGACAAGTGATTGTGAGGTAAATAAGTTTACCTACAAGTCTCCGATACATCTCTGGATCATCGAGTGAGTCACCATCATCCACCTTAAGTTTTACATTAGTCTCCATAGGTGTAGCTACAGGTTTTGAACCAAGATATCTAGTATCCTGTAAGAGATCAAGAGTATACTTTCGCTGAGAAAGACTAATGTCTTGTTTCGACCGAGCCACCTCAATTCCTAGAAAATACCGAAGTTTGCCCAAATCCTTAGTAAGGAAGCTAGAACTTAAGTGATGGATTAGAATTTGTATCCCATCTTTGTCACTGCCAGTGACAACGATATCATCTACATACACCACAAGAATCACAATACCACGTTCGTTTTCTTAAAAAAAAAAAGAGTGGTCAGCCTGGTTTCTGGTCATACCATGAGCTACCACTGCTTTAGTGAACTTATCAAACCATGCGCGAGGGTACTGTTTGAGGCCATAGATAAACTTCTTGAGATGACACACACACACCCCCTTATACTCAAACCCAGGTGGTTGAGTCATATAGACTGTCTCAGTAAGGTCACCGTGCAGAAAGGCATTTTTAACATCATGTTGATGAAGTGGCCAGTTTAGATTAGCTGCAAGAGAGATTATCACACGAACAGAATTCAGTTTGGCCACAGGAGAGAACGTCTCAGTATAATCAAGGCAATAAGTCTAAGTGTAGCCTTTAGCAACAAGTCAAGCTTTAAGACAGTCAACAGTACCATCAGGCTTCTGTTTAACAGTAAAAACCCAACGACAACCAACAACCTGAATATCAGCAGGTTTAGGAACAAGGTCCCAAGTATGATTCAATTTTAAAGCGTCTATTTCTTCTTCCATAGCTTTCCTCCACCCTGGATGAGAAAGTGCCTCCTGTAGGACTTGGGAAGAATAATAGAGGATAATGACAAAGAAAAAGCTTGAAAGGAAGAGGACAATTTATTATATGATACAAAATTGGAGATAGGGTGATTGGTACAAGACCGTTTACCTTTCCAAACAGCAATAGGTTGATCAAGATCAGAGTCCGGAAAGATGGAAGAATCTCCAGGCGTTGAAGTGACTGGTGGAAGTGGCAAGGCTGGGTTTACTACTTCAGTCGTTGGAACATGATTAAATACTCTTTTCCAGCGACGAGCATGGACACAAAGAGCTGGTGGGATGTCAGAATCAAAAACTGGAGTTGGAAGAACAAACTCTTGAAGAATAGAGTCCTCTAAACGACTGCCTTCCTGGGAATAATAAAGAACATCCTCAAAGAAAGTTACATCTGCACACACAAATTGTTTACGAAGAGTTGGACTGTAACATTAATATCCCTTTTGAGTGCGAGAATAACCTAAGAAAATAAATTTGTGAGCACAAGGATCAAGTTTATCTCGTCCCGGGCTTAGATTATGAACAAAACAGACACACCCAAACACATTTGGAGGAATGAAAAAAGGGTTTTTGTCAGGAAACATCATTTGGAAGGGTGATTTTCCTTGAAAGACCCTAAAAAAGCATGCAGTTTAAAAGATAAGCAGCAACCAGAACTGCATCTGCCCAAAAATGTTTTGGAACATGCATTTAAAGTATTAAGGCACGAGCGATAGCTAGGAGTGGGTCATTCTTCCATTCAACAACTTCATTTTGTTGAGGGGTATCAACAAAAGATGTATGATGGATAATGCCCCTCGACTCAATAAACTTTTGAAAAACATCAAGTTTATATTCAAGGGCATTGTCAATTCTAATAACAAGTAATTTTGCATTAAACTGATTTTGAATTTCAGCATAAAAGGATTGAAAAACGGAGAATACTTGAGATCTATCTTTAAGAATATAAACCCAAGTTAAACGTGAATAATGACACAAAATAACGAGCACCAAATAAACTAGTAGTATGAGCTGGCCCCAAACATCCAAATGTACTAACTCAAAAGGTTTTAAACTTTTATTATCAAAACGAGACTTAAAAGTAGCCCGACGATGTTTACTAAGTTCGCAAGTAGTACAATTAAACTTAGCAAAATCAACTAAAGAAGGGACCAAGGCTCGAAGACTATTTGAAGAGGGATGTCCAAGACGGCAATGCCACTGGTAAGCTGAAGAGGAGGTGGAATGTAGAGCTATCGGAGCAGTAGTTGGCTGGAAGTAGTAAAGACCATCCTTCTCAAACCCCCCACCAATCGTCTTCTTCGTCTTGAGATCCTGAAAGACACAACGGGAAAGAGAAAAAGTAACTGAGCAATTTAAATCTAATATGACTTTGCAAACTAACAATAAATTGAATGAAAATTGAGGGATGTATAAAACTAATGAAAAAGTGAGACCCAAAGTGTGGAAGGTACCAATTCCATGAACAGATGATTTGGCACCATTTGCTGTAGTAACAACCGATGGTCAGAAAACATGAGAAATATCAGAAAAAAGAGATGGGTTACATGTCATGTGATCGGATGCCCCTGAATCAATGATCCAAGGTGTAGAAGATGAAGCATGGAGACACGTATTACCTGAAGTAACGATAGTAGCGATGGAGGAGGGTTGATTTGCTCGCTCACGCTTTACCAGAGAATCATATTTGGTTTTGGAAAGAACGACTTATTCATTCACAAGAGTGGGAATAGTCTCCTCCGAAACCGAAGCTTGATTAGCCTAAGTTGGCTTGCCATGAAGAGCCCAACAGAAGTCGACATAGTGATTGTTTCGGCCACAATGAGTACACTTCTTGATGCCGCAACCCCCTCTGCCGCCACGAGTACCACGGCTTGGGTTAGAAGGACCTCTGCCCCCTCGTCCTCCACAGAAAGTATCATGTTGCTCAGTAAGAAGAACAAGTGCAGAGTGGTTGTCCTTCTTAATCACAGGGGCATGAATAGATGCTCTTCGAACTCAAGCAAAAGTCTCATTTCTTGTGGGTATCTCCTTGCCAGACAAAATCTGCAAACTGTTCGGAGCTAGTTCGGGTCTAAGTCCAAATAAAAATTTTGCCACCCGAAACTTTTTCCTATGCCCTTTTTGTTGTTCGATGTTTGTAGTCAATGGTTGGTCGACATTCAATTCTTCCCACATGCCCTTCAATTCTGTGTAATAATGTTTAACAGAACGATCTCCCTGCTGGAGATTAAAAATATCCTGGTACCACTGATAAATACGAGAAATATTCTTCTCTGAAGAATATATGTCCCTAAGATTTTCTCATATATCTTTGGCAGATTCTAGGAATGACACATTGTTGAAGATCTCAAGCTCCAAGCTGTTCCATAACCAAGTCATAATCTGAGCATCATCTTTCTCCCAAGCCTCAATAATCTTTTCATCACTGGTGGATTTGGTTGATTTAAGATATGACGGTTTTCCTTGAGCCCGTAAGAACACCTCTACGGCTCGAGACCATTGAAGGTAATTTGAGCCTTTCAGTTTGGTGCTAGTGATTGACCCAAATAGATGTGATTCTTTAGTATCCATCACAAGAGTTGCCGAACAAATGAGATATAGTAGCGAGAGGGAGCCGAGATAAGAGAACCAAGATCTAGCCGAGATGAACCGGAGAGAAATTATCGAGGAGAGAGCCGAGGAGGGATCCGAAAGAGATTGCCGAGACGAGAACTGAGATCACCAAGGAGAGATCGCCGAGAAAAAATTGCTGAGAGAAAACCGAGGAGGGATCCAACAGAGATTGCCGAGAAGAAAATTTAGATCACCGAGGAGAGATCGCCGAGAAAATATTGCTGAGAGAAAGCCGAGATGGAATCAAGATTGGAGTCTGAATAAGACTAAAAAAAAAAAAATTAAGAGGGATCGATTTCCACTCTGATACCATGTTGAAAGAGAGAGAGAGAGAGAGAGAGAAAGAAAATATATGAAAACGTATATCTTATTGAATGAGTAATACAATAATACAATGGTGTTTATATAGGAGAAGCTCAGAAGTAAGTGAGTGGAGAACAAGTAAACCCTATACATGATAATTCTATATATGGTAATGAGGGGTAGGTGACAACTCATACAATATCAACTGTACAAATGTGACAACTCATATAATAATGTACAACGTGACAACTCATACAATACTGTACAACAAATATTAAATAAATTCAGCAGAATAACTTTTGGAAACAAAAAATGTTGGTGCAGCACATCGTATATCTTTGACAAATGCAATGGTAGCGTGATTTGTTTTCCTGGCAAAGTTACATGGTAGCATGATTGATACAACTACAAAATCACTGCATATTAAGCTATGGTTTTGCATTAGAACACAATTGTTTCTCAATAGTTTATAAAGAAACTAACACAAACAAACACAGGCACAGGGAAAATGAATCCACATAAAAATACAATAGGATAAAAATCCAGGATGAACTTATTACTGCTTTGTGAAGTATAAAGGAAGCAATCTTTCACGTGCTAAGCCAAAGCATATGTTAAGCAATGAATGACCAAGAAGCTGAGTATTTACAGCGGTAACGTGTCATACCCTCTCCTTGCCCCCTTTCCCTTTTCCCAACAATTACCTTTTTGTTTGTTAGTATCATTTTTTTCTTCACATTTAGTTACTAAATACAATTAACAATTTGACATTAATGAGATACAGTTTGGATTATCATTTACTCTTGAATTCTAAAAAAGTGTCCTCCATTTGCATGAATGTATGTACTTCAGATATGTTTAATTACTAAATTATCAGGCCTATTTGCATAGACTAACATTAGTTTATCATTCCAAACATTTCTCTTAACTTATTATTGCCCACCCATTGTGTTCCTCAAAACTTTTCCACAACGTTTACATTCCCAGACCAACATAAACCAAATCACAGTATATTCTATAGCATAATCAAATCTCTACTAATATGGCAAGTCATTCCATAAATTGTGGCTATCATATCTACAAACACTCCCCCCCCTTAAGTTGGTGCATGGATATCTGAGACGCCCAACTTGGACAATGCATCTTCAAACACGATCTAGCTAGCACCCTCTTCAAAATCTACAAGTTGCAAAGTGCAAATCTGACTAGCGATAATTTTCTCTCAAATGAAGTGCCGATCAACAAATCAAAAATGTTTCCTCAGACCATAAACAATTAACAATGTCTCCTCAGACCATAAACTATCAATCATGTCTCCTCAGATCGTAAATAACAAAAAGTGTCTCCTTAGACCATTTCCCTCCACATGTTTAAAACATGTAGATGGAAGAATCAACAATGTCTCCTCAGACCATTCCCCTTCATATATATGTTTAAACAATGTAGATGAAAAAATCAACAATGTCTCCTCAAACCATAAAAAAAATAAATAAATAAATAAAAAATAAAAAATAAAAAAAACCTATGTCTCCTTAGACCATTTCTGAATGGGTGGTGCCAAACTCACAACGCCCTCATTGAGGTCGGACCACCCTGCCTACCCGACACCTCCCGGATGGGCAATGTCACCTTAGACCATTCCCGAATGGGTGGTGCCGAACTCACGATGCCCTCATTGCAGTCGAACTACCCTAGCTTTGATACCAAGTATAAATATAAAAAGAAGAAAGAGAGAATTGTGTAAAGGCTTGAATGAGATAAATCACTCATTAACGGCTCTAGTATTTATAGATATAAAGAGCACATGCTCATATTACAAGAAAGGAAACTAAATCAAATCACAGCATATTCTATAACATAATCAAATCTCTGTTAATATGGTAACTCATTCCATAAATTGTGACTATCATATCTGCTAACAGTAAGTTACTTCCATAATTCTAGACTATCATATCTCGGCTAACACTCACACTTAAGATGATGCGTGGATATCTCAAATGCCTAACTTGGACAATGCATCCTCAAAAACGATCTTTATAAATTATAGCCAATGACTATATTTAGCTATATTAAATTGACTAGCCAAGACATAACCATAGTATTTTCTCCAAACCATCGTGGATACATCTTATCTGACTCAGCTGGTGTTTTCCCCAACCATAAACCATTAACAATGTCTCCTCATACCATAAGCAACCAACCAACCATGTCTCGTCACCAACCATAAGCTGACTCAGCTGGTGTTTTCCCCAACCATAAACCATTAACAATATCTCCTCATACCATAAGCAACCAACCAACCATGTCTCGTCACCAACCATAAGCTGACTCAGCTGGTGTTTTCCCCAACCATAAACCATTAACAGTATCTCCTCGTACCATAAGCAACCAACCAACCATGTCTCGTTACCATAAGCAACCAACCATGTCTCCTCAGACCGTAAACAACCATTATTGTCAGACTATTTCCCTTCATACACATGTTTAAAAATATATAGACGGAAGAATCAACAGGGGTGGAGCCAATGTATGCCCGGGGGGCACTTCCCCCCGGCCTCGGCCCAGCCCCCAACCCCGACCCCGGCAAGCCTTGTTAAAGTTTCCTTCTTAAGTTAAACTCTAATTTTCTCCTTTGTGAGTTTTTTTCATTTTTGCACTTGGTTGAAGACTCTTTTACAGGAACTTGGGATTTCAGTCGAGTACCCAATACCTCTCCATTGTGACAATGCCAGTTATTCATATTGCTAGCAGTCCAGTCTACCATGAGAGGACGAAACACATTGAAGTAGATTGCCATTTCATTCGAATGAGATTGTTACATCTTTTGTTCCTTCTGGCAGACAACTGGCAAACATCTTCACTAAAGCGCTTTCCAAGAACTCTATTGATTCGATATGCAGCAAGCTGGGAGTTATTGACATTTACTCTCCAGCTTGAGGGGGAGTGTTGTACAATATTGTATGAGAAGTCACACGTGTACAGTTAGATTACATTGTATACTAAGGTTTACTAGTATTTTTTGTATTCCGTAGCCGCCTTCACCTACCCCTCGTTACCATATATAACATTACCATGTATAGTGTTTACTTGTTCTCCACTCACCTACTCCTGTAGCTTCTCCTATATAAACACCATTGTATTATTGTAGTACTCACTCAATAATATACAGGTTTTTCATATATTCTCTCTCTCTCTCTCAACAGTTTTAAATTATGGAGAAGTCCGAAAAGGGAAGCCATGTTTGAGTGTCAAAAGGTTACAATGTTGGAAACATGTGTAACATAAATTTAGCTCCAATTTTGAAGTGTTCTTCTTCTTAGCCTTCAAGCTTTTACCACTAACGCCTAAAATCCTTAACAATGGCTATTCAAACCAATCTCAATTCCTTGTTATCATAAAACCCAACAACCCTTCTTCCACACACTTAAATCCTAATCAACATACTTGCCTAGCTTAAGCCCACAATAAATGAATCATAGATGGCTTTCTTATTGGTTTTGCAAATGTTGCCCCTTATTTAAGCCCACAAGCAGACTCTCACACTGGCTCGTGTGTGAAAACCCTGCAAGTACGGAGCAGATTAACACGGACCAAAGTGCAAAGTAACAAACAAAAAAAGGGAAGAGGAAACAAATCCAAAACCAAAGAGACTTTACCCAGATCCTTCAAAAATAAAAGCACATTAATTATGTCATAAAAGTATGCATATGCCTATATATTGTGTTAATAATTTTGACAACAAAAGAAAATAATATACAGAACAGAAATCCACATCAGCAATTATATACATTACTCAGCCTTGTCCCAACACGTTGACCAAAAATTATATACAATAGAAGAGGAATCGAAATGCACATTAACAGCTATACGCTCAACTTGACAAAGCCTTGTCTGAGGATATAAACTACTATTTTAAGAAACAGAAATCTTATACACAATATAAAAAAGAAAGAAAAACTGCACACTTACAAGTTCCAGAAGAAAATGTGAATCCTGAGAATACAACTCTTGTGAAAGACAATGGAGTGCTCTCCCTAAACGAGCATGCTGCTTCTTCAACATACTCCTCTCCAAATCTGAAAGACTTGGATCCAAACCAAATTCTTGACGCCTAATAGATTCAATAACCAGGGCTGCATCCTCATCTTTTTCAAGTTCAGATAAGTGTTGTACGCAATCATCCCCAAAGTTATCACAAGAAGCCGCTACATTATTAACCATGCGACGAACTCCAGAACTTTTTTCATTATGCGGATCTGTTGTAACACAGAATAATCTTTCACCTTCAGAGGAACACCTCTTATCTACTGCATCTTGGATATGTATTGAGCCTGTGCTGAGCTCAGAACTGACAGGTTTTACTTGTGATGCTCCACTGGACAAGTCAGTAGCCATAGATGAACAAAATATGCGGTAATCCTCAATCCACTCCACTATACCAAGAGATAATCCTACTTCATGAAGCATAAGACGATGCTCAATTTGCTTGCATTCACTCAAAATGGCTGAAGGAGCATCTCTGATAACAGATTCCATCCCTGAAAGCAATACATCTGCAGCAAAACCACAGAATTCCTTAGGTAGATAACTGAGACAATCAAGGATAAACCTTGATGCAGCAGGAACCGCTCTATTAACTTTGTTTTTGCTTTTGTATGATTTACTGCTGAAATTATAGGATGCATCTTCATCAAGCAATCGCTGCCCATGCAATTGGTTTCTGCGCATGAGAAAATTCTGACAGTCAGTTACTTCCATTTCCATAGAATTTTTCATAAGGACTTCAAGAGCTTTCCGTGCATGGCATTTTAGAAGGGACAACGGAACGTGTTTTCTACCCCCATACAATGAAAACAAAGATAATAGTTCTACTGCAGTTTGGAAAGATGATCCCTGAAGAAAAGCTTCTAAAAATGAATCTACAGTTGCTGAATGATCAATCCGCAATACTTTGCCATCCTTTGTCACTAAACACAGTAGCTTTTTTGTATTGACCTCACTCAGCAACCATTCCAGAAGAGGACCCAGCGAAGGAGCAAATATAAGGTCCCAGTGCGACCAAGAATGTAAATCTGACAGCATTGGTGCCCTAAGCAAGACTTCAATTGCATCCTTGCTTGTAACAGAACCAAGGTTTCCTGCCTTAAGGCCTACTCCATTTATCGCCCCAGTAACTTTTAACAAATCTTCCTCCTCATGAGGCAATGAGTCTCTAATACAACACATTTCTAACAAAGTTGCAGAGAATAAGACACGATTAGAAATTGCACTGCATTTGTTCTCTCTTACACCATCCAGAAAATCTTTTATGGAACCATTTTCTACTAATTTGAAACTGATTAATGGGAATTGCCTCGTAAGCAGCATAGAAATCTCCTGCCTGGTTATGTTTTCATTTTCCCATAAGCTATTTGAAGCTTGGGACAGTAGTACAGATAACTGATGATGGAGCATACAAACCTCCAACGGGGACTTTTCACATCTGCCACCAGTCAAACACTTCTGCAATGCATTAGGTAGTAGAGACGCATGATTCTCTAAGAACGTAAGAAACTCTCCATAACCAAGGGAGTCAAATTCCTTGACAGAAAATTGCTCAGTCAGCCAAAGCTCACATTTGCGAAGCTTCCGCAAGAAGGAAAATTGTTTCTCCAAATACGATCCGACATTGTTCACAATGTTATGATCAAGCTCAAAATATATAGAAACTTTTTTGACAATATCTTCAAGAGTGACATCTGTGGAATGTAGATTATACATCAGAAAGAACTATTTATGTTCAGATAAAAGAAGCCTCTAAACAGTAGCAGATAGTTTAGAGAGACTATTACTCTCTTAGAAGTAAAAATAATAAGCCCCTCCCCCACCACCAAAAAAATAATAAAAAATTCCTTCGAAATATCATATTATCATATTCCTCAACTCATTTATTAAGAACATGGTAATAATAATAAAAAGAAATAACTATCGTCTCGAGAGTGCGCGTGCTTGCGCGAGAGAGAGATAGAGAGAGGAGGAAGGAGAGTTACAATATCCTAGATTTCTAATGTAGAACAAGTGGTGGTGGACTACCTGGAGCAGATGGGTTCCTAAAAACTCAAGAGGATCTCACTAACTTGTGTTGTTGAAACATTAAACTGCAATAATTTTTTCAAAGGGATGAGCTACCAGAACATATCAACTGGAAGCCCCAAACAAATTTTAAGGCATGGCCAGTCTTCTGCAGGAGACTGACCTATCTTCAGAACAAAAAATGGTCGTTGCTGTGATTTATCGCAGCTTTATTTTTATTTTATTTTTATGTTATATCGCCTATGAAATTCTTGATCATGGTCCAATTGTGGTCTTTTTAGTCTAAAATTTTTAGAGAAGTCTAATTTTTTGTTAAGTCAAATTCCCAAAGTTTAGGAAACTACAGGCCATATTTCTATGTGATGGTCCAATGCAAACAAGAACTTAGTCCTTAAGAAACTCCCAATATAAAAAAGTAGTTTATTTTATTAAGGCGTTGAGTCACGTATTTTAATGGGATTTCGAGTTTGCTATTATATAAAGCCCTGTAAAGCATAATTTTGTGGATTCTTCTTCTTCGAGAAACCTTTTTTCTTTGCCTCATAGGCTCAAAGCCCTAGCAGATTCTAGGATGGATGGACCCTTCAGGTTCTTCCTTAATTATTTGCCTCCTGTGTCCGTTATGTTAAATGTCATCATTGTCACGGCAAACAGATACTACTAATTGCCCTCTTGATAACATTACCAATTTAACTTTCTTGCATTGAACTTATAAAAAGTAAACCATAACATCCCTATGGCCCCACTATGGATAGATTTGGTAATTCACTCACTACCAATACAATAACAAAATTACTAAAACTCGTCCTCCAAGAAAGTTAGATTCCCAAAAAGGGACTTTTTTATTTTGGGACGGAGGAGTATTTCAAACTCAAAATTAAAATTGAATTGTCAATCTGTCCTAGTCGGTCCGTCTTTCACGGTTCACTGATTGGTTTGTGGATTTTCCTAGCCTGGATGGCAACTAAGGTTGTTTCTGTTTTTGAGGATTTTAAAGCTAGCGATTGTAGGAAACTCACGAGGACCAAAAGTTTAGCATTCTGGTGTCCCTTTTTGCCATTCTGAAATTCCTGACATTTCAAATCCGTATTTGGATTAAGCTAACACAACTTACTGCACTTATGCTTTAAAACATTCTCAGCGATGACCAGTGCATCCTTTTCAACTGGTTCAACCTCAATGTTGTCATACTCGGAACGTTTATCTGAAAGTGTATTTGCTACTCCACATTGATCAAAAGCTTGCAAGGTATCATACATACTATCCCACATTCCACATTTTATAGACGTAACCTGCAAAAGAAGCAAGCAACTCGATTATAATGCATACAGTCACAACACAATGAGGCAATAATGGGCATACGAAGACCTCATACCAGACATTAGACTTGTAGAAATTAATGTAACAAATAACAAAGCTCCAGAAGATACAAACAGAAAGCTAGTTATAAGTTTTACTACTAGAATATAGAGAAGGCAATCATCATCAAGTGCCTACGCTGTGCCATTAACCAGGGAATAATAAATCTCACTTGCAGCGATAAAAGAATCCTTTATCAACATTAAATATTAAATTTAAAAATAAAAACAAAAAGCATAAACATAAGAGAGTATTCCCTACAAAAACTTCTAAATTATCCACTGAATTTATGAGCCGAATTCCAACATATATAAGCAAGAGCAACCCAGCTCAAACAACACCTCCATAAAGCAACAAGAGACCAAAAAAATTAAAAAATTAAAAAATCAATTGTTGTAAATAATAAAATCCAAGTGAAGAGTGAAATTGTTACGACAAACGCAACGAACCCAAGATAGAATCAAGAATCACGACGAAAAAGTAAACACACCACACAAAGAACACAAAGATTTATACGTGGGTCGGCAACAGCCTACGTCTACGGTGGAGGTCCGGCGAAAGTCTTCACTATGTGTAAAATCGGAGATTACAAGTTTTCAGCCCCTCACTCTGTTTCTGTACGAATTTCAGAGTCTCTCTCTTACACCACTCCAAACCCTAAGCGCCCTTATATATCGGGTTACAAGAGACTAATTAGGGTCCACGACCCATGAGCAAAAGGCGGGTCAAAACTTTTCCTCAGGGCGGTCATCGAGTCAAAGGCGGGTTGCAACGCGACCCAGCACCAAATTCGGGCCACAACATCACATAAATGAAACAAGAAGAACATAAAGATATTACGTGGTTCAACCACTAGGGCTTACATCCACGTCACAGAAAGCCCAAAGGGCTACATCACATTTATTGTATTCTCTCTTCGTTTTTGCATACAATATCACCTCTATTTATAGGTGAAAGAAATACAAACATGTGATAAATATGATATAGGAAAGATTCCTAAAATATTCCCATGATTCACTCATATCAATATTCTGTCAATGGGTGATTTAAGGGCTTAAATCACTCCTATAATAATATTCTCCATGCATAACATCTTCCAACACTCGTCCACAAGCTGGAGCGTGTATGGAAATAACCCCCAACTTGCATATCAAATCATAAAACGGATCTTTTTCCAACGATTTGGAAAAAGACAATAAAAGTGTTGAAGACATGGCGAAGCCTTGAAGGCGAAGAACAATGCTACCGAACTGGCAACCCAAATAAGTCACAAATAGCACCGAACACACAACAAAGGCAAAGAACAATGTTACTGAACACACCGGCAGCCCAAACAAGTCACAAATAGCACCTAAAGACCCCCAACACATTTCAGACGCTAAAGGAATACCCTAAATAGGGGTCCGGACTCCGAACCTAGGAAGAGATCCTCCCTACACTGTCGCACACTCCAGGTGACTACCCTTGGATTTTTTCTGTACCTAGGCGGTCGCAACAAGAAAAAAGGCATAAATTAGGCTCTAATACCATGATATAAATAATAAAATACAAGTGAAGAGAGAAATTAAACAAGAAGAACACAAAGATATTACGTGGTTCAACCACTAGGGCTTACATCCACGGCACACAAAGCCCAAATCAACATATTACCCACACCCCAAGCACATTATGCCAATAAGGAGCAACAATGGACTTTAAGCTTCCTAGTCCAAAGCAAGTCACGATTGTTAGGTTACACCAATTGGGCGCCATTTGGTCCTTGCGTAGATTTTGTGGGATGTGTTCCCCTTTTAAAGGCCTTCTAATGTTATCTTAATTATCAATATATGTATAAATATTAAGGAAACATAGGCTCTCAAAATCTTACACAAAGATCAACAGAAGAGTCTGATAGACTGGGGAGTCCAACAAAGACAGTAGGATCGTCGTTAAGATAGGAAGCAAGACATTTGATGCTCAAAGTTGCAGTGAAGCAGAATCCCAGTTCAATCTTATAAAGGGGGGCTGAGTAGTCGTTTGATTTATGCTAATGATGAAAGGAGGATTTGATTGGGTGTATGAAACAGTCTTGAATGTGTGATGAGTTTTTGTAGATAACTATCTCGGTTAAAAAGGTCAACTGCTGGATGTTGGAAGGGAGGTATGCTAGTTAGAGGTTGGGATTGGCTTTAACCAAGGTGTGCTCATTCGAGAGAACTTTACCGGGGAGTATAGAGTAATCTAGCAGAAACGTTATGAAAAATTTGGGAATTGGAAAACCAAAAGCAAGCTGTGGGTACCTATTCTTTGGTGAACCTTTAATATATCCTCCTTTGATCTGTGCAAGACACGCATCAGTGGTGTTAAAACTGGAAAGGATGTCCAGCCTATTTCTCATCTTTTGTTTACGCAGATGATGCACTGGTATTCTTCAAATCCACGGAGGAGATCGAAGGTGAAATTGGCCTTTTGGCAAGTGAGGTATAGTTGGAACCCAAATAGACACAATCCCCTATGGTAAAGCAACGTGAAGTGGCATGTAGAGTGTTATGGACACATCAGCATCCTAATTATGCTACATGGAAATTCTATATATTTGACTGGGCCTCAAGACCTCCCATGATTCTTTATCACACCCCATCCTTTAGACTTGTTTGGAGACCTCGAGAAAACTCAATTCTACTATCAAAACTCAAGGAGATTATTGCGGGAAGTGACACCTCGACCTAGTCGCCTAGGTTGGAGGCAAAGCTTAGGGGGCTCACAAAACCTCATGACGTCACTTCATGGGATCCTCAGGCCATGTGGCTTGGAAGCAGGAGTTCAGGAATTGTTGAGGATGCTTATTTCGCACGACTGATCCTTGACTGGGTCCAAAGAGGGTGCAGAGGTTCCAAGTTCCTCGAGATAGCCCATGCCTCCACAAACCGTACCCCTTATTTTATTGTTATTCTTTCCTTGTCTTTTGACCTTGTTGCGCCACCATAATTATACTATTATAGATTAAGACGACCACTTTATTGGACTTTGAGCCTTGGTCTGACAATCTCGAATGCTCATTACCCCATGGTTATTGAATCATCCACCATTATATAAAAGGCACCAAGCCCAATCTCTATCCCTCCACTCGCAGAAGCCCCTTGTGGAACCCCATCGTAGGACTTGGAACTCCCCTCAGAACTCTCTCTGTCTATTAGGGAAATCTTAAGGAACTGTCCTGTTAGCTGACTTTTTTGATTCTCTTTGGATTTGCTAGGACTTCCACCTAAGCCTGCTACCTTGGACCCTATTGTCATACGTCTTTCGTATTGCGGGTGACACCTTCATCCTACACATCGAACGCCACCTCTACACAAGTAAAGAAGGAAAATACTATTTTCAGAAAACAGTGATCAAGGAGAATCCAGCAACACCTTTGAAAGGCAGGAGTAGCTAAGGAGATGTGTAGCTAAGAAACGCGGATACGGACACGTTGACACAACAAATCTTATAAAGGTGAGACACGGACATGCAAGGACACGACAATAAAACATATATACTTTTATACCCAAATTAAAGGTGGGCTTGGATTTTGGTAGCAATGAATGTGTAGGACCATTTAAGCATCCATAAAGGACAAGGAAGGCCCTTAAAGGTATGTCATACCGATAAGGGTAAAATCTGTCTGAATTTTAACTTAATAATACACTTTGGGGAGGATAAAACGGGGCAGTTGAGTGGCAAGTAGATTAAAGATGATGAAGGGTGGACTGTGCACATGAAAGCCATGCCTCATCTAAACAGAGATGATGCTGATGAATCGAAGTGGTATGGAGGTAGGAAGGCTGAGGCAACTCCCAATGGTAGAGAGGTTGCAGAGATGAGGCAAACATGTTGAAAGGAAAGGGTGAGGATTTTAAAGGGTGAGGGTGAAAGCTAATGGTTTGAATATTGAATTTGGAAATGATAATGCACATGAGAGGTTTAAAATGCCACGCAACAGGTTATAGAAATTTAGGCCTTGGTAGAAAAAAAGCTTTTAAGATGAGCTAAAAAGTGGAGACAGCCAAATGGAACAAGGGCTGGAGTTTGGACCTTGAAGATCAATGAGCTCGAGACTACATTTTAAGGGTAATATTAATGAGACTAAAGTTCAACAACTTAGTCAATCTAGGAATATAAAGAAAACTAAGCCCGACAGCTAGATCAACCAAGCTGTAATGACAGCATGCGTGTTAGCCCGAGAAGAGGAAAATCTGATTATTTCATAAGTAAAAATGAGTACTAGGGTTACACAAATAGTTGACCAAGCATGCATAATCGCGTGAGAAGGAAAGCGGAAAAATGACATTAACTAAGAAGAGTAAATCATTTTCCCCCCTCAGTAGAGTATGTGAGTAGCGTGGTGAGGAAGTTGTTATGTTGATTTAGTTGAAAACAGTACTTTAATGACCTAAAGGGGGGAGAATAGGTCAACTTGCTTGATTTTTGTGATTGATTAAATTACCCACAATGATTATTAATTACACATCTACAACCACAAAAAATTAAGGCCAGTAAAGTAAAGCAACTGAAGTAGAATTTGAGAGATGACACCGGGTTTTTGAGCATGGAAACATTTGTTGGAAGAAATCCGACCAACAGGAATGAAAACTGATGAGCACATTTTATACCATGATTATTATCCCTAAATATTATTTACTAGTCCTTAATATTAAATAAGTTAGTATGTTTATGTAAAATGTTTTGTTGTTAGAGATTGTTGGTCTATTGCTTAATTTGCTTGTGATTGTGTAGTGTTCTATGCATTTTCTTGTGCAAATGGACAGCAGATTGATCTCAGCAAAAGGACAACAGGTTGTTCTCAGCATGTGCAGCAGAGTTCAGCAATCAGCAGGTGCAAAAGTCAGCAATCAGCAGGTGCAAAAAAAGTCAGCAAAAAGGCAGTAGATTGCAACTTGTGGAAGTGGCCTCTCACTTCAGCAACTTGTGCAAGTGGCCTTTCATTTCAGTAACTTGTGCCACTTGCACAAGTGGCCTGAGTTCATTTGCCTATTTATAAGCCATTCTGCTGCAGAAAAATGGGGGGAAGAAAGGAAGAAAAAGGAGGCTGAGCTAGGAGTTCAAGGCTTTTTTTGCATGGTTTTGGGGCTGTTTACAGCAGTTCCCATTTCTTCTTTTCCTTGCCTATGTTTTCATTCTTTTGTTTGTCTAAAGTGTTTGTTATGTCATTCTAATTTCCTCACCTAAGGTTGCGGAGGAAACCCCATTAATGAAATGATCTTCTAGTTTTCGTTCACTTAAATCCCTAATTATGGTTTTAACGTTTATGATTCTTGTTTCATATGATTGATTGAATTTCAGAACTTTCATGATTAACATCATGTATTCTTGGTACTTAGGAGTTCAATATTCAATTGATCAATGCTTGATTTTTTTTTTTTGTCTCTTGATAGTAAATTTCTTTGATCTTATGTTTTTCATATTTTGGATTCATATGATGCTTAGAATTTTCTCTTTTAAGCGAAGAAGAATCTATCTTTGGATATATATTTCATGTGTGCCTTATTGCTAAATGTTGAGAAAGCAATAATTTGATTTCTAGATTGCTACTCTAAATTTGGGAATTAGTAAATGAATACCTCGAAGGTTATGGATTCATGCCTTGTTGTTTGTTTTTATTGATTGTATCTCATTTAATTTGCATGTTTTTAATTTCTCAAATCAACCAACTTGTTCAACTGGATTATATTTAAATTAATTTAGGTTTGGATTGGTTTTCCATATTTTTCTAAGCAATCCCTGTGGATACGACCTCATTGTTACATGTCTATACTCCAATAGATTCGTATACTTGCGAGTGGTTGAAAAAGAAACAACAAAAACCACGGAGACTTTCGCCGTCCCAAGTGAAACGGTCCACTATAATTGAAGCAAAGTACAATGGACTCTAACTCAAGTGCACACTCACTCCGCTCTACCAAGTACCAATTGTTGAGCATCTCTCTGGCTTTGCGATTCCCTGTCCAAACGCACTAGAATTCAGGCTTAATCCTTTGATGCTTGTAGAAGGGTTGCAAATAGATCAACGAACACTCCTCGAATGCTCTGACCCCTTCAAAGTGTAATCAATTCCTCCTCTTCCTTCAAATCTAAATTTTCTGAAGGCTAGAAGAAAACTCTGCAGAACTGATCAATCTGTGTATTCTGATTTAGACTCTGAAGATTACGTTAATCAGAAGAACATCACTCTAAATCGCTCTTGTGTTTAAGTATGTACTCTCAACAATTAACAACCAGATTTCTCTAAAATCTCTCTCAAAAAGCTTCAATATTCATGTAAAAGATGAAAATTTGTTTTTCCAATTGAAGCATCCAATATCTATTACGGTTAGAAATATGAGATGTTTATGTTTTGGTTCTGTTTTTACCTAGACCACTACTGGGATTACAAGAAGTGCAACAGGTTCTATTTTGGCCGAGAGCAATTTTCTGACCAGCAAAAAGTTTAACCGATTGTGTTTGAAAGTGCAACCGGTTGAACTTTTATAAGGAGCAAAAATATACCTGTTTTGACTCTGAAAAATCAATGCATTCTCCATCAACTCAAAACATAACAGTGCAATGTGTCCTCACTCACATGCTTGATTTAAATGATGTTCTCAGCGAATTCAACAGTAAGAGGCACTTGCGCTTCAGCTCCGAAAGACCAAGACTCGAGATAAACAAAAATACAAATTAATATCTCACAGAGTAAACCACATTTTGGTGTCAATAGTTAGTTAGTCATGAATTTGCATCATTCAAATGATATTCCACTCTAAAAGGAAGCATTCTACTGGTTCAACAATTTAAGAAATACCAATCAACAAGTGCCATGATTAATTAGGAAGCCAGAATTTGACAACAATAAACTTACAGCGAGATTTAGCAATCCAACACATGGGTATAAAGTGAACATTGATCTCATTTTCTTCACTCTTCGATCACTTGTTTTATAGAATTGAAGCATCCTCTCAAGAACCTTAAAAATACAAGACAAGATCCAGTGAGAAACAGCAGCACATGTTTATGACAGCAACAAAGTCTAAGAATGTAAGATATCAAGAAAAGAAAAGTGAAAAAAAATTTTTAAAAATAACTGTTTGCACATACGCACATAGACATACAACAAGAATCACTTTGAACATAACAACGTAAATATCTTGCTTCAGAATCTTAATATGCAAATTATCAAAAGCTTGACCAACAAAACAACCATAGGAACATAATATCCACCACATAGTGACGCATATGACCTAAAAACTGATTCTGTAGGATATTTTATATAATAAAATAAACTCACCCACCAGCTAAGTTGCTCGAGCACTTCGATAAAAGAATCAAACATGTGACTGACACCTTATATACTGCTAATGCACCTGTCTGACACATTACATATGTTTCAATAATTTGTAACAAATTTCCAGTTTTAGACAATAGTAGCAAGCTGATAGCATTCACTGACACATAATGACTTTTTAAGTGTCTTTTCCATTGGTTAGGTTATGGCCTAAAAATAATAAACTAGAGACAAATAGTCCACTACGTAGCACTGATACCAAGTGATGAACTGGGTATAAATCTAATATTTCACTGTATTAACACAAAATGATTGCCTTCTTCAAAATTTGTGAGCCTAAAGTTTTACCATTGTACCAAGCAATGACCATATCATCCAAAGATGGACCATTTTTTTAAAAAATAAAAGCAAAGAACCATTATATAATCATTTGTTCAATCAGGGGAGTAATATAAGGTTACACATGCTCAAACCCACCCACCCTCTCTCTCTCTCTCTCTCTCTCTCTCTCTCTCTCTCATGCACACAAGTCCTGTAACCAACCTGTCCATTTCCAACTTCATAAGAATTTACCATGGTGCTGCATCCCGTATCACGAGAAGTTTCCATCAGTACAACTTAAATAAAAAAAATTCCCATTAATTAACATTTAGCATTGTATAGTAAAATTAATGCCTAGAAGACTAGAATCATATAAAGTAAGGACCAATAAGGTGGCTAGACTACTGTCTTAAGTACATTTGCTAGAGTGGGTGAAGCAAGCAATATGGACATAGGGGAATGAGAAAGGCCACTTAAATAGAACAAATGGTAAAGCAGGCTGAAAGAAAAGTGAGAGAGAAAGAAAGAGACGATGCTTCGGAGCATTATATGGTAATTTGGCAAGTATGATAATATGTAGCAGACAAACTGCACGTTGCTGCAAGTTTCCAGGTCAATCGTCTGTCAATAATGGGAACAAACACAACCTTTCTTAGACTACGCCATCACTTCCAAAAAGCCTCTACATCAAAGACAAAGTCAAAACCGTCAAGCCATCCCATTTGCCAACAAAACACTAATTTAACCCACTAACCACAAGCATCATACCACAATGAGGTCCTCAATCAACATTTGGCACGTTAGTTTTTTAACAGAGTGAAATACAGTATGGATGAAAACCAAGACTTGTAAAGAGAACTACACTATATAATAAAGAGCCTCGCCTTAGATACAATAATAAGATGGTCATTCTCATTGCATTTTTTAGTAGAAGACATGCAGTGACAGATAAAATGATCTTTCTTATTCCAGTTTTTAGTTACACCAGTTTAAATACTAGAATGGAAAAGAATTGAATTGCAATTGATTTCTCAAACTCTATCTATATTATGGTTTTGGTGAGGTAAAAGGCAAACAAAAATCAGCGGGAAGAAGGGTTGATCGTGGGGAGAGAGACAGGGAGGAGAGAGAAAGGGAGAAACAAGAGAGATGGGGAAAAAACACGAAGGAAGGTGGATGAAGAACTATATGAATTTATTTGGAGAATATAATGAGAGTGGGGAATGGGAAGGCATTCAAGTACTCACTTATATAGAAGTTTCAATTTTTGCATGTCATATAAACCCGCTATAATTCATAAGTCAAAATTTAAGGCTTTGAATAGAGATTTTTGACTTATTTATTAATTTAATTTGACTTGAGTTGCCCTCACCAAACCTATTACGCATGGTCGAGATTAAGCTGACCCTCTCGTGGCAGTCAAATCATTGAGTTCATATATTTACTAATAAAATATCTAATACTTCAATAGTTTATTTAGGTTAACCATCTATAGATTATTTTAATATTTATTATTGTTTTTGTTGAAGGATTTAAATATTTAAGTTACACCCACTTTAACAGCTTAAGCTTTTAGAGTAGATGGTTGTTAATATGATATCAGAGCCAAAGGTCACAAGTTCAAACCTCACCGCCACCCTAAAAAATTAAATTGAAAAACATGTGTTGGACCAAAAGAAGGCCACACGTGAAGGGGCATGTTGAAGGATTTAAATATTTAAGTTACACCTTCTCTAAAAGCTTGAGATTTTAGAGTAGATGTTTGTTAGCAGTTTTTATCATTGAACAATTGTAACACCTCGAACCGACAAGGGCATAACATCCACTTTCTGGATAACAAAAGTTTGGTTCATCTCTAATAGAGGAGTAATTTGTTTCTATCAGATGTAGATGTAACTGAGGGTGAACTAATCAAAAATAATTAGGTGTTTGATAGTAGGATTTACCAGCAAAATATTGAGGTGTCCCCCTAATGGTCATTACCTAATGTGGTCCCCACTAAACGAGGATGCTTGGAGGAGCAGACGGGATACAGACCTAATCGTTGGCATTATTTGCACAAAGTGGCTGCTCTTAAGATTCAAACTTGCATTCTCAGACTTAACAGCCAGATCATATCACCACTGCAACAGGCAATAGCCCCCAGAAGTCTCCGTGATATCTTCAAAATTGAATGATGATGACTGCAAACTTTTAATACCTCAATGATGTGTGAAAAGAACAATCAGGGGTAAGTTGGTTGTTATCATATGTCGGGAGGCTACAGTTACAAAGCCTGTGTTATATAGAGTTCAGCTTTTCTAGGCAAATTTACTCATCTTTCCTGAAGAAAATTCTGTATCAATTTAATAGACCCTAAGACCTTATTTTGAGGATTCGGACAGAGCTAGAGAACACAGGATTAAAGGACGTATGCACTATCATATAAAAGGCTCAAAAAGGAAGGGGGATTAAGGATGAAGCATCTGGTAAAATGAAATAAGTCTATGGCCTATGGGCGTATAGGCACATGTGGCATCTTCTGACTGATAAAGGGGATTTTTTTCATGAGGCACCCGGTGCAAACTTATATAGTTAAGCTAAAAGTTTCAAGGATATAAAAATTACCTCAAGAATATCCTTCATTTTGTGGAAACCTATTAGGGTATGAAAGACAGTGGTGCATGAACAAGGTCTTACATGATGGACTCCCTTCCACAGCAGAAGATGTAGCAAGGGAAGCTTGTTTGGAAGGAATATCCCCCCTGGGTATCTCTTTATCAGACTTACATGTTAGTTTTTGACTTTTTAGTCTTCTCGTCTGTTGTTTAAGTCAAGGGTATGCCCAAGACTTGATCTTCCGAATTTTCTATTTTCCACTTGTGATCTCTCTGGGTGATCACTTTTTCCTCTGTACTACATTGTCTTATTTGTATCAATAAATTTTCCAACATTCAGGAAAAAATTTAAAAAAAAATAAAAAAAGACTGTGTGATACATGTTCAAGATTTGCCTTTGTAATAGGCAGGTGGCATTCTTCTGGATTCATAAGTAGCATCCCTTTAGTCCAATTGTACAGCAAAAGGTGAGAAGATAATAGAGGATGACAATCTCACTAAGAATGCTAAAGTTGCAGCTATATTTCTCAATAGGTATAACATACTGCCGTCACTGGTTAAAAAAAAAAAAAAAAAAACATACTGCCGTCACTCACAAAGTACTGGAACCGCAAATTAATATGCCTGCTAGTCTTTTCTCAAGTTCCATAGAAAATATATGGCGGCGAGGTTCCCAACTGCATTTGGTAAACTTAAAATTGCCAAAACCTGGGAAACCATTAGGAGAAAGAACACCCTATAGTGCAATGATACCAACTGGTGTTGTGCCTAAGTGAATTCTAATATTGTAACTTGCCGTTCTAGGAAGGTTAAGTATCCGAGATGAAATTCAGAGTTTTTGCAAATCCTTCCCTTAATGGATCTTCGGATCTGTGGATTCCTTGGGAACACCTTCACTGATCATATTTGGTTGTTTGGGCAGCTAATTAGTGGAAGGGGAAATCAGCTCAAAAGGTGGTTAATGAACTATAACTTGATGGAGCAGCATACTGAATGTGGAAGGACAGATATGTTGGAGCTCTAGAAATGAGTACAAAGCTGTCTCTATGACAGAGATCCATGGTGTAGTTAGAAGCAGGTTTAAACCATACAAATTTCAATCTTGCGTAACAAAATAAAGATATCTAATATTAGATACTTCAAATTTCATTCAGTGTAAGGAAGGAAAGGACAACCTAATATTAGATACTACAAATACATTCTATTAGATACAGATCAATAGAGTGTGCTGCCAAATAACTTGTATGTATTCTGAATAAGAGAAATCTACATACCTCATCAACATTGTGCTCTTGACATGCCTCTTTCCATGTTGTGATGAACATCCTCATGGAATCACTTAGATTTTCAGATTTCCATTTGTTGTTGGATTGTCCGTCACTCGAGTTGCACCTTGGGCTGCAGCAAACAAATCAACCAAAAGACTTATGACCATAAAACTAGAATATGGCAGGTCTTTTATATGATGGTAATAAAAATGGTGTAAAGCATCTCCATTGAAAATTCCAAACTGCAAAATTTACTTCTTCTTTGCACCAGATGGTTCCTTCTTTTTTTTTCCTAAATCAGATGGTTCCTTCTTCTTCTTGACACTTTTGATAACACCAACAGCAACAGTCTGACGCATATTCCTGGCAGTAAATCGTCCAAGTGGTGGGTACTCTGAGAAAGTTTCCACCACCATGGGCCTGAAGGGAAGGATTTTTACCATACCAGCATCTCCGCTCTTTAAAAAATTGGGCTTCTTCTCAAGCTCCTTGCCAGATAGGCAGTCAATCTTCGTCATGAGATGAACAAACTTAACAGCAATGTGAGCGGTGTGGCAGTCAAGAACTGAAGTATGCCCATTCTCAATCTGGCCAGGGTGGTCCATGATAATGACCTGGGCTGTGAATATTGCAGCTTCCTTGGCTGGATCATCCTTTGAGTTGGATGCAACATAGCCACGCTTGAGATCCTCCACTGCAACATTCTTAACAGTGAACCCAACATTGTCACCGGGCAGAGCTTCCTGGAGGACTTTGTCGTGCATTTCCACAGACTTCACTTCAGAGGTCAGCCCACTTGGTACAAAAGTGACAACCATACCAGGCTTCAGGACACCAGTCTCAACCCTTCCCACCAGGACAGTACCAATACCACCAATCTTGTAGACATCCTGAAGTGGAAGACGCAGAGGCTTGTCTGATGGCCTCTTGGGCTCTTGGATCAAGTCAAGGGCCTCAAGAAGAGTTGGGCCCCTGTACCAGTCTAGGTTGGTTGACCTTTCAATCATGTTGTCACCTTCAAAACCAGATATCGGAACAAAAGGAATTTTGTAAGGGTCGTAGCCAACCTTCTTCAGGTACGATGAGAGTTCCTTCACAATTTCATCATATCTTGCCTTTGAGTACTTGGGAGTGGTGGCATCCATCTGCAGACAACACACGCAGTGACGCAGACTTACATGAACACCACATGCTACCATGTACCATCTAAATGAGGTGCAAAATGCAAATAAATATTAGAAAACGTAACTGCATTGTACATAATGGGTCCCTGGTAAACCACTTGAAAATAGAACTAACAATTTTACAGCACTTGTCTTGGACATTTCACACAGATGAACTGCCGTGGGCATGATACTATCAGAAGCAGGTACAACATAGACCATATAGAGACAGCATATAGATTAACAGAATACAGACTCGTGATGACATTCAAAAATGAATCACAGTTTCCCGTGCTACCAATCAGCATACCACATAACAGGTCTATATTATAGGATGATCCATTTGAACAATGAATAGGAATTTCATCTTATGATCTGCAACATTCATGGAAAAGTAAATAATAAATCTGATACAAAAGTAAATTTAGTGGAAAGCAAACGGGATTTAATTTTATGGCGTCCAGCAGGACTGATGGGGATCAAACCCACAGCTTCTGCCCCAAAGAGCGGTGCTCTAACCATTTGAACCACAATCCCGTGGTATAAGCATCATATGGAGTCTCCTTGAAATGAACACCCGACTTAATTTGCCACCTATCATCCATGATATCCCTGACTTATATTATGAAGGAATTGTATTGGCAGATTGGCGGGCCCCAATTCATGGAGTGGGGGAATAGGTATATCAAAACACATGCCATGAGAGCATTACTAAACAATTCACAAGAAAAAAGTAAAGACGACAACAAATATAACAAGCAAACAGAATATAACCAACCTTGTTACAGCAGCAAATCATCTGCTTGACACCAAGAGTGAAAGCAAGAAGAGCATGCTCACGAGTCTGGCCATCCTTAGAAATACCAGCTTCAAAACCATCAGAAGTGGAATCGATAATGAGGACAGCACAGTCAGCCTGGGATGTCCCAGTAATCATGTTCTTAATAAAGTCACGATGCCCAGGAGCATCAATGATTGTGCAGTAGTAGTTGGTGGTCTCAAATTTCCACAAGGAAATATCAATTGTGATGCCATGTTCACGCTCAGCTTTGAGCTTGTCAAGCACCCACGCATACTTGAATGAACTCTTGTTCATTTCAGCAGCTTCCTTCTCAAACCTTTCAATAACACACTTGTCAATTCCACCGAGTTTATAGATCAGATGGCCCGTGGTGGTTGACTTGCCTGAGTCAACGTGCCCAATAACAACAATGTTGATGTGAACCTTCTCCTTACCCATTATAGATTTCAGGAATTAGACTGCATTACAAATTTGAATATGACAGAATGATCTATTAGTACTAAAATTACATGAACAATGACAATACAAACATTATTGGTGAGGTAAGCAAAATAAAAACACACTGATGATTAACCAACAAACACAAAAATAAATAAGTAAATAAATAAAATAACTAAAAAGACGAGCTTTCATCCTCGAAAGTTTCCACACTGACCAAATACAATCTCAATACCCCAATTCAAATACCAACACATGGGTATCACTTAACTATTCAAACAGTATTTCATTGTGCAAATCATTTATTATCCCTGTTCCGATATTTTGACCAAACCAAACTCCACTAGAAAGAGAAATTTATAAGATTGCATGATTTGCAAACAAATCAGATCATTCCCAAAAATCTAAACAGGTAAAACAAAGAGTATACAAATTACATAAAATAGACAGTATACAAATTTAGGCCGGTATGTTCTTCTGAGAAGCAAAAACTAAATGACCTGCCACACATATCTCTAAAGCCACTTGGTAAATTTTCAAAAATAAACCAGACTGAACTGGGCACTTGGCAAGTCCATTGCAATCAGTTTATATTTAGTCCAATACAAAATCAAAACACTTAAAGAATTAAATACTCCAAAGGGAAAAATAATAATAATAGTACTAATGTGGCAGCCAACCAACAACATTATACAAGAAGGAAAAAAATATATAGATATTATTGCAACGCAATTTGGATTGAGATACAAAAGGGTAAACCAGACATCCTCAAAATCAACATACATATGAAAATGACTGTACAACTCAATTCCTGGCATTTCAAAGGACAGCAACAACAACAACAAAAACAAAAACAAAAAACTTCAAATTATTTAATCATTTTTATTATACATAAACATAATTCAAGCAGAGAAATATATCCAAAATGAGAGCTTCTATGTATCTGACAACCCGAAAATGATTATACATACCCAAAAACAAAAATTAAAAATAAACAAAGATTAGACAATATATATTGAGAAGCAAATGGTAACACATAACCAAATGTTACCCGAATTTAGAAATAGTATAAAAAAAAAAAAAAAACTTGTCATAATCTATATCCTTTGGACATCAACTTTAACTATAGATTCAGAAACATAAATTTGTGTGTGGAGGGCTTGTAACTTAGTGTTATCTCCTCCACTTTCAAGTCCCCAAATGGGCGCCTAATTTCTCAGGAAGGACAAAAAAAAAATTATACGCGTGTCTCCCGTGACTGAAACAACAAAAGTTCAAATAAAACAGCAAATTTGATTAGGAATTTCACATATCCACGAAGGGTAGTTTTGGAAAAGCATTTACTTAGTTGAATTGAGGTCTAAGAAGAGTCCACAACCAGTCAACAACAGAATAATCAACAGCAAAACCAACCGATTCATCAAAATCAGACAAAGAACTACATCGCATGTAATGAATCAGCGCAACTATCATTACCACGAACACATATACATGCATGTGTATACATATAGTGTGTGTTGAGTATAAAACAAGTGGAGAGAGAGAAATGAATATACCCTCGTAGATCAGAAAGACGCAGCTACAACAATGCAGTAGTAAAGCAAAGATAAATAGAGAGGGAATTGGGAGTTCATGACTCGGAGTTGACGAGGACATGCGACGCTAGAGCGAAGCTGAGAGGGAGTGGAAAGTAAAGTCGGTAGAAAGTAAAATAAAGTCGCATATTGCTTAACACCAAAAAGTCACATAGCGTAGCGGAGTAGGAGTGTAGGACCGATCTTCGGTGCTCCACGAATCGTATTCAGTATAGTATGCCCGGTTTGAGTGGGAAGAAATGAAAGGAAAAGAAAAGCAAGGTCACGGAGGGAAATGTAAGACGTAGTACCGTGTTTAGGCCCAGTTTCGTTACTAAATATGGTGGAAGAAATAGAAAAGAAAGGTAATGGGTGAATTAAAAGGTAATGTTTGGTACAGCAGAAAATGAAAAAAGTGATAACATTACTATGACCAGGGGCGGAGCCAGCATAGGCCCCGCCCGGGGGGTGGGCCCATGCTGGCCCATTAATTTTAATTACAAAATGACCTATAATTTATAAAAAAAATTTAAAATGCCCTCTCTAAAATAATTTTTTTCTAGAAAATGGCTGGGCCCATGCTGGCCCATTAGTTTTAATTACAAAATGGCCTATAATTTATAAAAAGTTTTTAAAATGTCCTCCCTAAAATAATTTTTTTCTAGAAAATGGCTATTAATTTTTATTATACACAGGCCAATAATTTATAAAAATGTGAAAAATGCCCCGTGAAATAATTATTTACCCTTGTGCCAATTAAGTTTTATTGCAAATAGGCCTATAATTTATAAAATTTTACAAAAATACTCACTAAAATAATTATTTTTAAAAAATAACTTTAATTTTTCCTTTCTTTTCATTCTTACTCCTCCTCCTCCACTTCTTCTTTATATTCTTCTTCTTCTTCTTTTATTTTTTATTTTTTTATATTCTCTTAAAAAACAAAAAAGTTACATTCCTGTATTCAAACTATTTTTTTTTTCTCTTCAAAGTTTGGTGATTAAATTTGTTGCTAAACAAACTCTTAAGATTGGTATTTTATGTTTCCATTTTTTTTAAATAATTATTTTTTAAATTATTAAATATTATTATTCCACCATTATTACAGTTCTATTTTTTGATTTATTGTTTTCCATCACCATTCGCTTGAAAAAATATAATACGGCGCCCTCCCTAAAACAAATTCCTGGCTCCGCCCCTGACTATGACTCTATGAGAAAATAAATAAATGAAAGGAAAGAAAAGGATATTGTTAATCACTTAGGTTAATTGATAAATGAAAATAAAATAAATTAAGTTATGTTTGGTGTGCAGGAATTGAATAGAATGCAAGTGCAGGTAGAATTAAAATGGGAATGGAATGATCATTCTCATTCTATTGTTTGGTTGCAAATCTAAAACATGTAGGAATGAAATAATAATAATTATTCTAATGTTTGGTTGAATCAATTTAAAATTTAGAATAGAATGAATTTCAAATTAAATTATCCAAAATACCCCTTTTATTAATTGACAAAAAAATTAATTTAACAAAATAGCATTTTTCTATAGTTTTTTTAAGAAATGACGTTGGTGATAAATGGCAGTGACGGTGGTGGTGGAGGTGGAAAGCAACAGTGGTGTAGGTGGAGGCGTTGGAAGGTGGCGATGGCATTAGCGATGGCGATGGTAGTAGTGGTGGAGGTGGTGGTGGTGGTGGAAGGCAAAGCATGCGGCGACGTCAGTGTGGTGGTGGTGGAAGGCGGCGATAGTTGTGGAGGTGACAATGGTGGTGATGGTAAAAGGTAGTAGAGGCGGCGGTGATGGTGGAAAGTGGTGGCTGTGGTGATAAAAGATGATGGCAGTGGTGGTGGATGTGGAGGTTGAGGTGGCAGTGGTAGAAGGTGGTAGCGGTAGAAGTAGAGGTGGCGGCGGCGGTAGAAGGCAGTGGTGGAGGCGTGGTGTGGTGGTGGTAGAAGGCAATGATAGTGGTAGTGGTGGAAGGCAATGGAGGTGACAATGGTGGTAGTGGTGAAAGGCGGCGGTAGTAGCGATAGCAGTAGTGGTGGAAGGCAATGGAGTAACAGTGTGGTAGTGGTGGAAGGCGGCGATAGTTATGAAAATGACAGCAGTGGTGGTGGAAGCCGGCGACAGTGGTCGCGATGGCAGTGGCAGTAGAGGTGGAGGTGGTAATGGTAGAAGGTAGTAGAGGTGGCAGCCATGGTGGATGGCAGTGGTGGAAGCGTGGTGTGGTAGTGGCAGAAGGCGGTGACAGCGGTGGCAGTGGCAGTGGTGGAAGGTGGCAGTGGTGGTGGAAAGTGGCGGTGGTGATGTCAACGGTAATGGTGGTTGTAATGGTGGCAACGATTATGGTGGAAGGTAATAGAGGTGGTGCTGGTCGAATATGTTGGTGGTGAAAGTCGGTGGTGGTGGTGGCGGCGACGGTGGAGGTTGCGGTGGTGGAAGGCAATAGAGAATGTGGTGATGTGATGGTGGAAGGCAACAACAATGGTAATGATGATAGTGACAATGGTGGAAGGCAACTGAGGTGGCGGTGGTGAAAGGAGACAGTGGTTGTGGTGAAAGATGATGGTGGTGGAAAGTAATGGCGGTGGCGGAAAGTAGTGGGGGTAGAAGGCAATGGTGGTGGTGGTGATGGTTTTTGGACTTGTAACATGAGGGTTTTTTGGGAATTTGATTATTTAAAAAAACAATACCATGCCCTACCTATGTTGCAAGTATCAAAACGATTGGTTGATCTCACTGGAAAGGGCTACTTTCATGGCTGCTTTGATTATTGCCTTGTGGAAATGCTTACTAGACGATATTACAAGATTTTGCTCTATCTATTTCCTCACTCGCATGCGGCGATGCCAGTGTGGCGGTGGTGGAAAGTGGCGATAGTTGTGGAGGTGACGATGGTGGTGATTGTAAAAGGTAGTGGAGGAGGCAACGTTGGTGGAAAGTGGTGGTGGAAAGTGGTGGCAGTGGTGGTGGAGGTTGAGGTCGAAGTGGCAGTGGTAGAAGGTGGTGGCGTTGGTGGTGGCAATAGAGGTAGAGGTGGCAGCGGCGATGGAAGACAGTGGTGTAGTGGTGGTGGAAGGCGATGATAATGGTGGTGGTGGAAGGCAATGAAGGTGACAATGGTGGTGGTGGTTAGGGATGGCAATTTGACTCGCCCCCGCGGTTACTCGCCCTACCCCGCCCCGTTTTTGGCGGTTTTAGGGGACCGTTTAACTAATTTGGGTAGGGATGGTTTAATATAACAAAAACCCACGCGAGTTTAGTGCGGAGGCTGGGGGAGGTCGCCCTGCCCCGTTTAGATATATAAATTACTTAACTACCCTTTTATTAATTATTATATATATTTCCTATTAGAAACCCTATGTTTTGTTAATTCTCTCATTCACATCATTACTCTCAGCGGCGCCTACCCGTCATCCAATAGGTAATTAATTATCCTTATTTTATTTAGTATATATACTCGCATTAGAAACCCTAGACCTCACAAGTCACAACTCTTGATTACTCTTCAATCTTCTTCATTGTCAGTGGCGTGTCACTGTCAACCTGATCTTTAGGGGTTAGTTATCTCCCTTTTCCTCTTCTATATTTCTAATTCCTCTATGTTTTTATCTTTATGTGTCTATATATTATTATATATTTCAACAATGTGCTTTTATCTTTGTGTGTCTATATATCATTATATATTTCAATAATTGGAAAAGGATAGTGAAACTGTGAAAGTAAATGAATCTCGAAATTAGACCAAAAAAGTTGTTTTATATTATTTTTGTATATTCTTTTCACGGTTCTTATGTTGTATTTTATCACGCTTTTGAGTATACGTCTTTTTATATTCACTCTCCCTTATAAAATGAAGAATCTATTGAAATACATGTATAATATATTCTATATATGTATAATATATTACATGTATATGTATATATAGAATATATTACCAACAAGCTTCATCCGTACACATCATGGATTCCAATAACGTGTATATATATCCTTACTTTGTTTTTACTTCATATTATCAATTTTGTTATTTAATATATATATATATATATATATATATATATATATATATATATATATATATATTCCTGTAAATGATACGTATTTTTTTATAATGTCATTTTTATATTTTCATCTGAGAATTTTCTCGAGGAGTCTGGAATTGTGGCATGTTGGGCATTTAGTTCGCAGAACCTTACTCTCATGTTGGGCATTTAGTTCGCAAAACCTTACTCTAAGCTTTGTTATATTTTGATTTCAGTGTATACATATGCTTAAGGAATTTCACTCAGGAGTTTCAGAATTTGTAATTGACTCTCTTTGTGTAAGTTCTACTTTGCCCCGTCATGTATATATAGAATATATTATTATATATATGTATAATATATATTATTATATATATGTATAATATATTACATGTATATCGTATACATATAATATATTATATAATATTATATATATGTGTGTGTTATGTAGATATTGTATAATATATATATATTACGATATGTAAATATTCTATACATGTTGAATAGTGGTCAATCATTTAGAATTGTCTCTTATTCTTTTCCAGCATAGGACTTATAGGTTATTAACGTCTTATTATGTATCATTTTAATTTTATTATTTTTTGTTGTCTGTTTTGCAGTATAAGTAAATTGAAAGATGTCACAGGGTGATAAAAGGACGATTGTAGATTTATCATCAAATGATAACCCATCTCCAATCCCTAATTCTGCTCCAATAACAGATTCTGCTCCAATAACAAATACAAATCCAGTTGATGAATCAGGTTTTGAAGCAACTTCGCCTAAGAAAAAAAAAAATAACATCAGCTGTGTGGAATGATTTTAAGAAGATAAAGATAAATGGGACAGAGTATGGTGCTTACAACCATTGCACTTCAAGGTTGAAAGCATTTAGTGGGAATGGAACAAGTAGCTTGCGCGACCATTTAAAAAGGTGTAAGAAAGTTGGAAATAAGGATATGAGACAATTTGTTTTGCAACAAAATCTGAAAAAGTTGGATGGACAGTTGGAATGTCGTACTTCTCAGTTTGATAAACAAGCTACAAAAGTTGCACGTGATGAACTTGCGGGGATGATCATAGTGCATGAGTATCCACTCTCCATTATTGAACATTCCCGCTTTCAAAGATTTGTTAATGCCCTTCAACCCATGTTTAAAATGGTTTCTCGAAATACAATCAAAAGGGACATCTTAAGTATTTATGAATCTGAGAAAGCTAAAACATCAAGGTTGTTGGAGACCCTTAGGAGTAGAGTTGCCATCACTTATGATATGTGGACTTGC